ATTACAGAAATCAAAAAGCGTTTACTACCAGCCAGATCCGATAGAATACCTCCACAGAGGGAACCTGCAATGAGGCCCATTCCACTCATAGTGAGTAACATTCCAACTTCATTTTCTCGATATGAATATGGCGGTTGGGAAAGTTTGATAGGAAGAAATAGAAAGGTCCAGTTCATAGAAACATATCCCACCAGAAGCATCAAACTGTAAGGAAGAACTTTGGGGTCAGTCAGATACGACAAGCTGGCACATGGGTTGACGAATGTCGGGTTACAGATCTCATCAGATTCCAATAAACTACCTCCATGTTCTGTTTCATATGCACACATTACCGCGTACTGTTGACTTTCCGGCACAAATATGATATAACTTATAAGCAGAACAAATGAGATTGATGCAGCTACTAATAGTGTTGATCTCCATCCAAAATACGCAGAAACTTGTCCGCCGATCACTGGCCCGAGAGCATTTCCTGTAAAATATGCAGTGTAATAAATTCCATACGCAGTTCCACGAACTCGTGGTTCATACACATCACTGATTATTCCTTGTACTACAACAATTGTTATCGAAATCAAACCTCCCTGTATTGCACGACAGATGATAAACATATAAATATTGGGTGAAAAATAGCACATAATGACAGAGACAATAAATATACTCAATCCATAGATAATCACTGGTCGACGTCCGTAGAAATCTGATAACACGCCCCATAATAAACCAGAAAGACTGGCTGTGAATAGATAGATGCTAACAGTAAGTAAACCTATTGTCTCTGTCGACTGAAACTCGTTGACGATAGTTGATATTGATGGAAGGTAAACAGTTTCATCAAATGTATATAAAAAGCCGAGACCACTTATGATACAAAGCATTAAATACTTTCTTGTTTGACTATAAAAATTATAAATGCTGGGTAAATTTTGCTTCGGCTGTTGATTAGCTCCTAGTAGCATTTTACTAATGTTATATTATGCGAGGAGAAAATCAACAGTGATTATAGATACTTATTATTATAACTAATCATTCATGTCACTTTTCGTCCAAAAGTATTTTGAATCATATCATAAAACGTCATTTTCACTAGTCCTATTTGCATTCACCATTGTTGACGTTTTTGTCATAAAAATATAATATCTAATCATAATATATGTGAGTCATCATTATAGCCCGAAAGAGAAGCGGGCTAATAATCGAAAAGCACAAGAAGAAAGTAAAGGTATTCATTAGGACAATCTTTATTTTGCAGCAGATGATATATATTAATATCTAAGACTATATGTAAGAAAAGTATATCAGAAAAATCATCCAATATGAATGCTCATCGTCATAAGTCGAGCAGATACATTTCGATTATACATCTATATTTCAGAGCTATGTCCTTCGATTTCAACGATACTTTTTGCGTTAATTTGCATGTCGTCAGAACAAGCTACCAGAACCCATCGTTTATAGTTACTCCAGATCAGTTGATATATTCATGTGTGGTTTCAAATGAAAGCGAACATGATGATAGACGAAACGAATAGTTGTGAGAAACAAGCATTGTATCTATGAAAAATAACGCTTGATAGCAAGATTCAAAATATATTTATGTTTGATCAGGATGGGAAGGAGAAGAAAAGTACTTTTATCGTTAAAAAATAACGGTCATACAATAAATCAAGATGAGAGTAATAATAGATAATGTCAATAAATGTGCGATATTCGCGGCTCAAATCACACATAGAGCGATTATTATTGCATGCCCAATATTTTGGTTCTTACGGGAAAGAATACTGAGTGAAGGTCAAAACCGAAGTTCTGGATAGTTCTGTTATTTAATCACATAATGTCGTCTTTTGTAATAGATTATTTGCGTATTAATGATATGGATTCATTCTGTTATCCTCTGTGCTTCTAATATTTCCTACTCATTACTGTTCGTGTTAGTATCTTTACCATCATCATGCTTGACTATTGCCACTGTAATCGAAGAAAATAAAATACATGACATATTAGTAGAAGGGTAACAATCTACTGAGTTGATGTCGAAATGATTTTCCTCGAGTTATCCGTAGAGCGAAGGATTTGCACACATACGTGATCAGGTGTATAAAATTCATTTTCAAATCGTTCGATGGCATCATTTTGTTGAAATTCTCGAGTAAATGACAAGATTCTGTACATTGCGCGATTGATCAAGCTCATGTTTATTTTCAAAAAAGAACTGCTTTGTCACGTTATAAAGTCGATAGAATGAAAAGTCAATTTGCTGATTAATGCGCTATATTCAATTGTGGTTTTCGGTGATTTTTGTAAGCATATGGAGAAACGCGTTCTTCATAATGAAGATGTGGTCCAGTCGATCTTCCTGTGTTTCCACTTTTACCAATTTCTTGTCCTGCTGACACTCTTTGTCCGACACTAACCGTTTTCTTACTCAAATGTGCGTAAAGTTGACGAATCCTATCAGGAGATTCAATAACAATATGGGTGCCGTAGTCAGCGCCCCAGTTGGCATTGATTACTGTACCACTGGCTGTTGCACGAACACTTGTTCCAACTGGGCATGCATAATCATCGCCAGTATGGTAACCAGCTGCCCAACTGCCTTTCTTGCCAAATGGAGTAGTGACTGATCTGCCTGGGACAGGTAGATGAGCAAAGACGACAGCACAGAGTGCTAAGAGTGAAACAAAGAACAAGTTACTCAACATGTGGATTTTTGTATTGCACTGAGTAGAATACAAATTGACGTGGATTATTTATAATGTGGAAAGATGGCCTATGAGAATAAATGAAGATTGCAAGATAAAAATAATCGTATGATAAAAAGCTATGCTAAATGGGCGATGAGAGAGCGTAACAGATGCGCATCTTCTTGTCTTTTAAAACAGTTATCATGAGCTTTTATCCGTAGGCCTACTCAATAAAAATGTCTTGGTTAGTTGGTTCTGACTTTAACAATAGTCTGTGTTCGAGGTAGCAGATCGAAAAAGCTGGCTTCTCATCAAAAATTAACTTTGTTTGTATTATACTAGACTCGGTGTCATTATAAAACGAGATTTGCAGTTATAATACTACTTCGATATTCTATCTTATATTTCTGCACGACCGCATTATAAAATTGAGCATTTTCATTTAAATTTTGCTTAACGATGTGCGTAGGTATCGACGTAATGCACCAGATGTCACTAAGACTTGTTTTATGAAGATACGCTTGAATGAGGATTAATCATTGCTCGGATTTTTGTCAATGACGATCAAAACAGGTAAAAACCAACTAATCTGAAGCTTTCATGTGGATTAGTTCATTTATTTTTTTTTGTAGAAAGTGACAAATATGAATCAAGCTTTGGAGCGAAATACAAGTGAAAGCACATATGCATTTCGTTTTGCTTCTTCCGATCAACTTCTCCATCTTACTCGGCAACAGGCTGAGCTCATTACTTATCTAACTGTTCTCGTCGAGCACAAAAATGATTTCTTGTCTATTCAAAACGGTAATGGCGAATATGTTCTGCACGAGCCGTTGGAGTATTCGTCATTCGTAGCTATTCTGCGTGCAATAACATCCCAGAATCCATATAAATTACTTGATGAGCTATCGTAGGATCAGAATGTCTTTCACACCCTTCAGTTGTTTGACCATCTCAATCTTCCATTATTCCCCTTACCATATATACAGAATGTAGACCTTGTGCTTCAATCAAATTCTACCGATTACAATGATAGAAAACAGCAAATTGAATATCACGAAGCAAGTTTACCAGAAGCTCGCCGAACCGCTGGAGAATTTATTATAGCGCTCGAAAGGAATCAGTACAAGTTGAGTGATTCGAAGACAATGATGACTATTTTCGATTTAATCCACATCATTCTTTTCAATGCAGGTGTTTTTCACTTACGATTTCGAGATCATACATTGTCAATCGCGAAAACTCGTTGTTATGAATTTTTGTCCAAAAATCAAAGATGTCGATTGAAGAGGCTCTGATATACCAAGAGAGCCAATTCGTATCAACCGTTGTCCTTCTTCATTACAGCTCGATATTTCTCATGGAGTATACCCAGTTGAAAATCATGACATGTTCTCTAATTTATCTATATTCGACGAGTACTCAGGTGAAGTAGACATTTCTCTCGTCTGTATCGAAGCATATTCTATTCATTCTAGAAGCTGAGACTTTTGGTACCCCCTACTATTTATTTGAAGTAGTCTACATAGGCGGCTAAATCAGCTCGATCGGGGTGGTTTAATACATCCTCTCCGCAAGCAATGAGAGTTGATAAATTCAAACATCGTTGCGGACCAAAAGCACAAAAATATCGATAAGACTTTGCATTGATTATGTAAACAAAAGCTTTGTGATCTTAGACGCTAGATAAATGCACACATGATGAAAAGCAATCCTATACACGAATAGAAGAGATATATTCTATAATTGACAAGCTTAATCTAAAATTTTAGTTACATTGGATGATGATAAGTATTATCTTTCTTTTCAGGAGAGCATAGACTGAAGAAAGACTATTTATTTGTCTATATTCTGTTCGTTGTATGCACATTCGATCAGTATATATGGAGAAGTAAATTTCGACATTGATCATTGTATCTGTTTCTTTTCTTATCGCTATTTAGTTCAAGCTGCGAATTACAGTCAATCGGTTGCCTTTCACGATGTAAATCGACTCGAAGTAGCTCGCATTAAGGGTGTTATCGGAGTCCATAATGTCGATGACATCAGCACGAATGGTTATTATGCAAAGTGGTGCGACTTGAGCTGATGTACAGGATGCAGGTAACTAAGTGGGATTTGCAGTTGAGGTAATCCAATCATCGAATATTTTCACCACTGGCGGATCATTGAGCGTTAATGCATATGATCGAGCTTCGCGTTACGGATCCGTTATTGATTCAGTCGTAGCGTTCCCATTCTTAACTGCTGATGGAGAAATCAAGAATGTTTGAAGAGAAGAAAATCGTCAACTATTTCACTGTATTATCGGTGTCTATGGGTAGGGATAGCTTGACTGTATCTACAATTCAAGACTAGCTCCTTTTTTAAAGACTTTTTGGTATTATTCTTGATGCTGATATTCATTTGACCGAAAATGTTTTCTATGAAAAGCGAATGGATACCATGGATTGACAACAGTATCCTTCGTATTTCTTCGACAGGATCGAAACGAATCGTAACATCAGTCTGCACTTTGCTTGGTCATCCGTACACCCGAAACATCTGTTCGATGGAATCTTTGTCGCCGACTTTCGCATGTGATATCAAAAACGAGTAAGAAAGTACCGAAGGTTAAGGACAAACTTATCAAAGAGAAATACATTAAATTGGATCATTTCGTCTTTGAGTTGTCACGCAGCTCGGCAGAGTGTTAAACGTCATAGTATTAACCTTTTGTCGAGCACTATTCAATTTGTTTCACCTGCCCAAAAAACCTTTCCTTCGTGATGTACGTGATCACAACGACACTTCCGCTGTAGTTCTAGATTTCAATCAGAAACTTAATGATGCTGATAGAAAACAGGTGAAAATATGGACACAATACATGATCAACGTGATCATTGGCTTCGGTGGCACCTACTACTTGACCTATCAACGATAGTCAATGCGTCAGCAACTAGTCAAAGCCTACTCTCAAATAAATGAATTTTTCTAACATAAACAACGTTATGATGCGCATCCCATATTCGAAAACGACTGGTACAATGACTATCGAAATCTAGTCGATTGACTATAGCTCATTAACTTATCTTCTGGTACTTATAACATATACGTACAATGTTAGCTTGAATACAAGAATCAACACTTTAGAAAAAAATAGATACTAGCGATGAAGAATTTTCAAAATATAAAGGAGGTATCTATGATAACGATGGGTATTCAGAAGCAATAGTTGCTCATGTGATATAAACTGAATGAATCCAGTGATTTTGTCTTTGGCGTAAAATAATATTCTGGTGTTTAGTTACAAATTGTTGGTTATGATATTAAAGGTGATAAACCGTTTTAGATATGCAAAAACAACTGGGGTAGATAATCATACCAATCATAAAGTTTTTTTCGTTATTTTCGATTTTTTATAGGTGATCATTGGGGAGAGCACCGATCACAATAAAGAATCTTATGTTTGAAAATAATCTTTAAAAAAAATCAAAACTTTTGAATCTTGCTACATGAAAGAAATTAACTAAATGAACAAATCTTTGATATGATCTAATGAATATTCTTTCTGTTAATTCAAATAATAAGCAATGAAAAACGTTTCATAAACTTCAACAAATTTTCCCAATAAGTCAATGCTCGACATAGGAACAAATAATTTCACTTAAGAATTAGATAAATACAGAATTACCTGTATGAATAATCGTAACAATATGCCTTTTTCATTCTAAAGTCAAATAAAAGAACGAAGGTGTACAGAAATCAGGAATACCAACACCCGACATGACAATGATATTCTCACATTTTGTCATATATTCAACAGCATCACGCAAATTAAATAATTTCAATATTGTTGTTTCATCAATTGTGCTTTAATTCAATTCAGTAATTTACTCATTACTAGAAATACTCGATAAGTTGGATCTTTCTAATCTCTACAGATAAAAAGTAATAAATTCGTGTCTAATTCTTCTACTCTGTAGATAGATATATTTATCGATTATTGAAGCAGAAAATAGCTTTTTCTTCTTTATTTTCTTATTCTCTCGTTTCCTTGATGTGTTTTTTATGGATTCATCTTTTCTTACTTCTTAATATAATTTCCATATCTATTGAACAATAATAAAAAGAATAAAGAATACTAGAGATTTTATTCTCATATGATACATTTTTTGTTAAAATAAAAGATTTAACTTAATTCAAAAATTCTAAAGCTCGTATATGATATCGTTTCATGATAACACAGACATCTTCATCCAACAAAACTGACTAACAGATGATTTTACATCCAAAATATCCTTGTGTAAATTAATTAAATATGTAATTTTTTTGCTTGTCAGAACAAGGGATGTTCAGATCAAGAATATGATATTATCTTTAAGATTACAGACAAACTAAAGAATTAATTAAAAATACTTTTGTTTGCATTTAAGTATCTGTATTTGTTGAAGAAGTCAAGTCATATGACTTAACACATTTTATATTACTTAAATCATTTTTTCGAAGAAAATAATCATAACTAAAAAGCTATTTAACACAATTCTAAAGTAAAATTTTTCATGTATTCGATTAAAATAATCATTTCGTATTCGAATCCTTTTTATAATCTTCTACCAGATTTCTACAAGTTTTAGTGAAACAAAAAGTTTGCTCCATATTAGTCAAAATATCAGAATGACACTTTCTTTGATTATTAAATTTTGGTTTTGTTTAATCTTTATAATTCCCTCAATGTTATGTAGTATTTTCAATCTTTATTATTTTCTTATTGATCGAACATTTCGTCAAAATTTACATAATCATGTTATAACAATAATACTTTTATTTGGTTTTATCTATATGATTACAGATATTATTTGGTTAATTCATTATTATCGTACAAATTCATTAATATCATCAACACGTACATTTTGTCTTTTATGGATTTCTGTAGATTTATCTGGATATGCTTCCATAATGATTCTAACAGCTTGGGCATCAATTGAACGACATATATTTATTTTTCATCAGAATTTACTTTCAACGTCATTGAAACGTTTTATTTTTCATTATTTACCATTGATTATCTGCAGTATTTATCCATCAACTTTTTATTTTATTGGATTTTTTGCTTTACCTTGTACGATTCCATCGAATTATCACCATGAACGATGTCAATTAGGATTTTGTTTATCTATTCATGAAATATTAGGTACTTGGGATAGTTCAATTAATAATATTTTACCAATATTTGTGATTGTTATCTTTAGTATTGGTCTAATTATTCGTATATGGCATAAGAAATATCGAATAGGTCAACGATTTCAGTGGAAAAAATATAAGAAAATGACATTTCAATTATTATCATTATCTGCTCTTTATCTTCTTCTTGTTTTACCATCACAAATTTTATATACAGCTTATACATTTGGTCTATCAAGTGATATAGGTTGGGATTTCTTTTTGGATTCTTATTATTTTTCTTACTTTACAATGTTATTTACTCCTTTTGTATCAATTGCTTCATTACCTGAACTACGAACTAAATTTCGAAAGATTATTCAATTTAGTCAAAGACAACAAAATACAATTGCTCCTGAAATAAGAGAAATGTCTCGTATTAAAAATCGACGAGTTGATAGAAGAACCGGTACCGTTCAATAATCATTATTCATTGCATAACAGATAACTGAAATTAATATTATTTTCTGTTGTCGTTGTATGTTGTAATAATTATTTCTAATATGATTAACATGCCAGGAAGAAATCAGTAGTTTCATTTTTCATACTGTTCAGTTGTTTTTCGTATTATTTTAGATTTAAAGTATAAGAAATAAAAGCTAAACCATCATCTTTCGTCTCGCCATTACTTTCTTCACATCGAACGAGAAGACAAAAGTCTGCAATACATAAATAGAAAACAAATCGATTGAGATGAATATTACTATTGGAACATAATTCTCTTCGAGTCATTGGAATGTTTTTGTATTACTCTCGTTTACATGATTTTTGTTCTTTCCATGTTGAAGTTTTAGGTGTGGATTAACCCTTTTAGTTCCGGCTTTTCTCGGAAAATTGGACGATCATTTTGTTAACTTTTACTTTATATGGCCACATGTCGAAAAAAGAGACTGAAGAGTTTATGAGTGTAAAAAATGGTGACATTATGTATCAGATTATCAATATAAGTGATGTCTGTTGACCTATGAAATCAGTTTAATTCTGCACTTATCACTGAAAAGAAAAACTAGGATGGCGCCTTAAGGTACCGCCGGGACTGAAAAGGTTAATAGACGAACCTTGGTGTACTCCGCTGTGTTATAGAAAGTGTGCAGATTTCGTACCCTTGATCTTAAACTAAGACGAGCATTTGCAATGGGCGATTTAGTTAATTGATGAGCAACGAAACGAATTAATGCAGCAGTGTTGAGAGGGAATATTGTGATTAGTCCAAGATTAATATACTTCTAATCAAAATTTTATGTTCCAGTCGAAATCGTGTTTGTTCGTCACAATGATGAAGCTGTATAATGAACAGCTTTTGATAAATTTAGAATTCGAAAAATAGATTCTTCATGGAAGAAGTACTTCGCAATGGCTTTTGCACAATTATAAACCGGAGTTTATCGGATTACTACAGAACGGCATCAACAATGGAGATCCAGACAGTATCTGGAGAAACTAGTAGTGAGTTAGTCAAATCAACTAAAAACAGTTTTCGAGATATACTTCGAAGGCCGGTGAAAGCCTCAAATTTTGCTTGTAGCCTGACTCAGCCTTCTCTACTGTTATAATGAACATTTTTTGGACAAATGACGATGCCCGCACAAAAACTCTCTGCGAGAATAGTTATCCCAGAGCGCCGTCGAATTAGAACAGCAACTATGAATTACAATGCTCACCCATAGTGCAATCTTATCTAAACAGCCAGAAATTTTGCATTACAGTTCAAATTCGAAGATGTACAAAATAGAACCAAATTATGATGAGAGGAATACGTAAAAATTTGTATAATAAAAATCGGAAAAACCTGTAACGTTCTGAAACTGTTCCATACCTTGGTTTTTTGGATCCTGTTTCTGCTACACGAATAATCAGCAAAAGTCAACCGAAGATCTGTTTATTATCGATGAGGACGAGATGACTTTACTATATATTTAATAATCAGAGAAAAACATATGCTAAATTGCCTTTATAAATACTGGCTAGGATTAAATAAAGATTAGCACCGCTCGCCTGATCGTAGCTATCACAAATCAATGATTAAAACAAACAGTGATTTCCTTATTCGTTTACCATTCACGAATCATCATCTCAATCTACATCTTTTCAAGTTCTTCCATTATTCCTTAAAAAAATCCATATTTTTCCGCCATAAACGATGTTTTGCATGTTATGTGCATACATACACTCGACATCGATGAAAATTTATTCTGCTTGAATAATCATATGTTGCATCTGCATTACAGGTTTTATCTCCATTTTTTCGTTCACTTCATTACAAGGTCTACGCAAAAGTATTCTCCGAATCATCACAATGTCTTTTATGAAAGGCTCCTACCAAGACCAGTTTTCTGTTTATACCGTTGATATCGACTAACACATTTCCAGAATGACTTAACTTCAGGTGTTTCCCCCAAAAAAACAGTTTACACCTAACAAAGGATACTGATAATTTCCTCAATACTCAGATAAATGCACAAGTAAACTTGCCATCCAACATATTTTCATTAATTAGAATTGATTCCCATTCCCGAAGGAACGAGAGTGGACCGAACTCAACGGCACTGCAGTGTCGAGACGATCTGTGGCACAGGTCCGAGTGAACTCGGGTGATCCTGGCCTATGTCCAAAAATCCGCTTGAAAGAGCCTGGCCCCGATGGGACCAGCGCCGGCTTTCAAACCGACGAGAACAGATACTACCCTTTGATCTTAGCCGAAAAGGCCNCTTGAATTGGTGTCTTGTAAGGACAGAAGTTTGCGTAGGACGTCAAATCCGCGCTTCTCCATTGTAACATTACCACTGTCGAATAAATTAACTGCATACTCAGCTGCATTGCGTGTTCGATGAACTGTATTGCCTTTATAAACCGTATGATAAGTTCCGTATGTCCATGTGTAACTTTGCTTGATCATAGATTCATTGGCATTATATTGGGATTCGTATTTCGCCAGAGATTTGAATATATCATTCTTTTGAGTAGATGTAAGATTATTGCGTGGTATGACTGAGTGGTATTGAGGTGAATTATTCGTGGCAACCTGTCCAAACAGTTGCCCAATGCAGTTCATATATAGTATGAATACGAAAATCGAGTCATGTGCAGACATCGCTCTCTATGAAGAGAAATGAATTCAAGTAAATCAAAATATCCTGATCTTATATAAAATGCATAGCATTCTAATCTAGGGAACGTACCTACCTGCGTTTCGTTTTCTTCTATCTGAAGCTTGAAGGTATTAGTATTGCCTTTTATAAGAATAGAACAACTAATCGTTTTTTCTTCTCATGAAAAATACATCGGAAGATTAAATGCTGAATTCAACTTGATCCTTCTCTTTAATTAAATGGAAAAATGAATACAGTATCTTAGGTTTCGTATGCGCACTGTTTGGAACATATCATCATTGTTTCTTTTCTAGTTTATCTAAAATATCTTTTCGCCGTTTCGTTTCGGGATGAGCTGTTCCAAGTGCTTCCTTAGCGATGTTTGCAGCCTCGGTTGCACACTTAATTGCTTCATCTATTCTATTGAGACTGTGTAACGCAGATACCATATTACTATATGTGGTGATGAATGCAGAATGATTGGGCTGTAAAGTTTTTTTTTGAATAGCAAGAGCCTTTTCATAAAATGACAACGCCGTTGAACAATCACCCATTTTTCTATGGATGACACCTATGTTGCTGTAATTATTGGCTAAAGATGGATGATCAGGTTGCAAATGGGCTAACTTGATTTCTAGTGCTTTTTCATAATTGTTGAGAGCTTCGGCATATTTGCCTTGGTCGTCCAGTACCGAGCCGATGTTATTGTAATCGACAGCAATCTCTAATCGGTTAGGATCCGATGTAGAACGGTCGATTTCGAGAACAAGATTAAAATATGTCAATGCTTCATCGAATCGTTTAAGTTTTTTCGAAATGACACCAATGTTCGAATATATACTGGATAGTTGAGAGTCGTGTGGCGACAAATATCCTTTACTACAGTTGATCGCCTTTTGATAATGTTCGAATGCCTCGGTTAGGTTACCCATTTGTTTTTCAACATGACCAAGTTGATTGTGGAGAAAAATGAATTCTAATTTATCTTCAGGCGCAACACCAATAATTAACTTCTCGTAAATTTCTTTTGCTTTGCTGAAATGACCCATTTTAATCATTAGTTGACCCAATGGACGCCAACCAGTTCCAGAACCCAATGATCTCCGAATATGATCTGTGAGGCGTGTCAATGATGAGTCGCGATCTTCTGTCAAAGCCAGTTTTATTCGCCACAAGCTAAGTTCTTCAATTTTCTCTTGTTCTTTACTTTTAATACGAAAAACAGCACCGATGGAGAAAAGAACTTCACATTCTTCCTTGATGGCAGTAATATCCTCGACCAGAGTGAAAGGAACAGATGAAACCGAAGAAGCAATCGGTATTTCCCATAGAATCCCAATCGAGTCGGGATAATCAGGATTGTGTAGTGCATATCGTACAAATTCCACTGCCTTGGGTTGTTTGGTTGTTGTGGAGAGAAAATTATTAAAAGATTGCAAACTGTTCGTCTTTAGCTTGTCGAAATCAGACTTCGACAAGCCTTGTCCTCGATAAACGACTGGCGGCAGTGCTTCTCTTGGATGTTTGTGTCTTCGCTTGATTTGCTCGTGAAGATCTCGAATATAGAAGTTGATGTGCATTAAAACTTCGATATCCAGCAATCGTAATGCACGATTGAGCATTTGATATAGAAAACATTGATTAGTATACCACCAAATCGGCGATTTTTTCTCAGATTCACGATCGTAGGTTGCTTGAAAATCTTCGATGTATTTCATTTCCGATATATTTCCTACATATTGTGATTTGCAGTATTCGATAAATTTTCTCTTGGCATCTGAGTCGTCTTCCAACTTGAAGAAATTCTCCTTCAATACTTGACAATACATAAACGACGGTGGAAGGTCGTTATCAGTTAAGTTAGCCGATGGTGAGATTGTATCACCGCACAGTAAGTTCTTCTCCACTCGCCGAACGTCCGTTTTCAATTCGTTACAAAGATGTGTCATGTTCGTGAAAATGCCTCTTCCTTTTCTGAACGATTTGATTTTATCAGTGCGTACTGCTGAGTTGCTGCAGAAGACATAAATGGAAGACAGTTGAACGAAGTTGTCTTCGAAAGCAGCGATTTCGTTTAGTAAAGTATCGGACACGACGAAGAAAACTTTTTCATTTTTCAGTTGAGTGAGACGTTGACGGCATGAGTCGATGTCTTTGAAAGTTTCGACGGCGTTGACAATGCTTCGAAATTGAGCAATCGAATCTTTATTATCCTCGGTGGAAAAGTTCCGATTGTCATCTAACCAAAGAATAACGCAATTTTCGATAATTTTCGGTGATGTGAAGGATGCCATTTTACTTTTCACACGTCAGAACACTTTCATTTGTAATTATCTACAACGAGAATATCTATCATAAGTAAATCAAACTAAAAAAGAGAGACTTTATTCGATAGTTTTTAGTGTTAAACAATCTTCAATCAAACTGTTTATTCATTCCGGAAAATATTTTCATACTCATGATTGATTGTATCCATCAGTCTATCGCAAGATAAGCTAAATTCAGTAGTAAAATCAATAAAAGGTTTGCCTTCTATGATGTTGAGCAACCACTTCGATTTGATACTTTCTCCGTGAACTAGAATCGCAATAATTTTTCGGTTTCTCCGAGAAGCATAGATAGCTTCGATTCGACATGCATTCGAATGTCCGTATTCATTTGACAAACACAGGATCACGATGGACGCTTCTTCAATGTCGTTAGCCAATTTTTCTGGATCGGGGCGTTGCTCCGTCATTGTATTGAATGATATATTGTAGAGCTCGATCTTTTTCAAGTAATTGTAAATGTTATTGAACATTTCTTGATCTTTTTTACTTTTAGCATTGTAACTAATGTGAATGTTGATTTTGTTTCGTTCTCTCTGGCCATCTAAGGTGTACACATAATCGCCTCGAATGTATTGATAAATAGCTTTTGTGATATCGAATGCTCTTTTGGTTTCCTTGATTCCGTATTTTTCGCGACTTTCTTCATCCGATACGCGCCTCGCTTGGAAGAGTTTTTGACCTTCGATATTCCACTGAATGTACTTTGCTATCGACTGCTTCTCAGCGTTTGCATCACATGAAAATTCATTGATCTCTGCTAATAGACGATCGCTATCAAGAATCTTCGAAGGTGCTTTGAGTTCAAATGAAAGACTTTCAATAATCCGAGCAGCAGGCGCGCGAAGGCTATCGTAATCGAAAGCATCATGACATACGATATCTTCTAGCAGATCGATTCCATCTTCATTGACGATTTCTTCTTTAACTTCATCGTTGAGAACAACCGCTGAAATAGTTCAGAGATACAAATAATTACAATTCATTTTGGTACATCATACTTTCCAAATTAGTCAACACTCCGTCAAGTTTGATTCCATGGAACATCAGGTCTATATTATCGAGAGTGTTCTCGATCATGTACAGATAGGATTTTGCAATTTTGGAGGGACTATCGATTTCGTCAATTTTCTCCTTTTGTAAAATCGCCGCTAAGGTTCGAGAGGTGAATCGAATAATTTTGTCTTTTGCTGCGTGCAAACGTTTAAGAGTATTGAATGGTTTCTTGCTTTTTAGATGTTTATGGATTGCTTCGTCGAATGTTAAATTGTATAGCATTACAAGTGAGTATGAGACAAGAGCAACATCACAATGAAATGGTAGACTGTTGAATTGAACACTGTAAATCAGATAATCTCTACTTATGATAGCAAGCACTTGATCAACCATCGATTCGTTATGATCGTAATCTAGAGAAAGAAGACGAGAAATGACAAGATTCTAAACAACATCATGATGTACGTGTCTGGAAACAGCCTCGTATTCCCGTTGTTGGAGTCAAAGCAAAGTAATTCAATAGTTCGATATTCCAAGCAACAGCAGGTGTTTTCGCGCCTTTTGTATTTGATAAAAAATACTTCTTCAAAACTTGCCTATCCGACTCTAAAATGAATTCCAAAATGAATTTCGTTGTGATCGGATTGATCATTCATCTCTCACCGTTTCTGCTTCGTTGGTAGTCAATCATCTTAACTAATTCTAATTCACCTTCTAAAATGGTATTTAGATGCTTGTGAAGTATTTCATAGGTGTCTTTGATAAGTTTTTCACATAGTTTATGTGATATCTCTCCCTGTCGGGTGTCAGACATTAACCGGATGAATTTCGGACATTGATACAAAAGCAATGATTGTTTTGGAGTCAGCGTCGGGTTGCGAAGATCGATGGCCTTGTACACTTTAAGGTAATGTTCCGACATTAAACACTTTATCACAGCATCGAGAGCAGCTCTATAATTTGGACTCCGTAGTTTTATCCAGAGACGAAGTAAACGATCGGTTATTTTGTATTTAATATGATAGGCTGAGTATTCTTTATTAGAGATGTCATTTTCTACCATTCGGATATATTTCGCCATGAATTTACTAGTAAAAAAGATCTTATCGTACGACATCGGGTCCACCGGTTGACTGATTTTTCCATCGCGTTCTTCCGTATAGTCTGCGTAGAAGCAATGTACAGCTTTATTCTTCAGTGAACATAAATTGGTAATAAATATGCTTATTGATTCCAAGCATTGCTCATCTGTCGGTGTTAAAGGAACCAATGTCATTTTTGTAAACAGCATGGTAAATGTCCGACTGAGTAGAATGAAAAAGTTATGTTGCATGATAGTTGGGTTATCAAATGGACCTAGGACACGAACGGCGAATAATTCATCGCATACTGAGGTTAGTTTACGCAAAGCGATTGCGGGTTCACAAGTATTGTTATTCAGAAATGAAACAATACTATCGAAGAATTCGACTAAACCAGCAATTGAATTGCGCTTGGACAGTTGACTGATCGTATTGTTATTTAGTTGCAATGGTGAATCCATATGCAGATATTTTTATCTAAAAATAAGTTTGTTTTCTAAAATTCACAATTCATAATATAAAAGTTAGAAAAAGATTAGTTTTCGTTTATTGATCTTTTTGCGCTTTTAAAAACTTCTCCCATTTCTTTGCATTCCGTATCATCTGTTTAACGAACTGTGGGCAACCACGATTTCTTGTTCCATCCCTCCATACTCTATGACCAGGATCATTGAGTATTTCACGCTTTCTTAGTGCAGCCCCTTGCAATGATTGTGCTTCAACTTTGCCCCGGACCAGCTTTTGTATACTTTTATGGTACTCTGGCCAGTAATGATTCCATCTTTCTTCAATGTCTTCAGGTAAGTTAGTCGTCGATCCTTTGGTTCGTCTTTCGTATTCCTTTAAGAAATCTATGTCGCGCGGTGCAGTGTTCCAAACTGAAACGTGATCCTTTATAGAAGTGTCAAACTTCATATATTTTCTGGGCGAAATTGCTTTAACTGTGTCATTCTTGTGTGGATGTTCGTCGGTACCTGAACCTTCTAATTTTTTCTCCTTTGGCCTTGGAAACTGAATTTCTACGTCAGTTATGCTTTCAAAGTACTCATGGGCTTCATCAGAACTGAACCACGATCCAACTATTATAGGCTCAGGAGGCCATTTCAGTTCTTTTGATCTCGAATGCGGGAAATTTTTTCCTAAATCTTCCAATTCCCACCATGGGCGTTTATCCCGTAATGGTATCGGAAATTCCGCGTCATTATAATCACCAGTCAGCGTAAACGGCGGGATGTTACCCAGGATTACTGGCTCATTCGATGCCTTTGTTATCCAACGTTTAATTAGTGAGAGAAAACTCTGCAGGTGTGTAGATTGATCTACTATGAATAAAAAGCAAATGAATGAAATTTAAAAGCATAGACAAGTATCGAAGACCAACTTTGTATATCTTCTATAGTTGAATTACTGCTAGACAGATCGGATGCTTTCTCATCTTCACTAGCTATAGTAGATTCTTCTTCTTCTTTCAAGTCTTCAGAATTCGATCGGCTTATTGGTTTTTTAAGAATGATTTTTAAAATGTAGATTAAATTCTCAATTGTATCATCTGAAATTCTTTGATTTCGAATAATTTCTTCGATATATTTCTCATAATTTCGTTGTTTTTCCTGCATCTCTGCTGTTGTTAACTGTACTCTAGTATCCTGGCGATGGTTAACATTCTCGTCATGCGAGGATTCTTCGATAGAAACATTGCTCAGTTGTGGATACGTCTGACCAAATGCACCGGGTTTGGTATAGCGAAGCTACGAATAGGAATGTTCAATTCAAACTCACAGATAATGAGAAGTCTCACCAATTCTACCAACAATTTTTCATAATTTAGGTCAAAATCTTCGTTGAGTTTGAATCGAATCTCATCTGTGAACACTTCGTAATACAATTCCTCTGTTTCAATCCATCTCATCCAATTGTTCTCTTGATTTGAAGATTTTGGTATGAGTACCACCGGCACGATCGTTTTATTCAATGATTCTTTTGCTGTTCGCAGTACATTCCTACAATGCGTATTCTTATAATAATTAACTGTGAAGCAAATAACAACAACATCTGCGCTTTCCATTTTAGCAGCAAAACTAGATGATGTGTGATCAGATGCATCAACTAAAACGGCATAATCTTCATCGATGAGACGACTATTCAAAATATCCGGCAGTATTCCGTCTGCAGAACAAAAGCTAAGAAAGATATTGTTTTGTCTTGACTTTTCTTCGAATGGTTTTCGAATCATTTTCGATGCGGCGAGATTCGTTGGTATCACTTTGAGATAAGCAATTCTCGACATAAGTTCATACTTTTCTTTGGCTAGATAAACTTCTCTGATTGGTCCACTCAATTCTAAACATGACGAAGAACCTGTCTGTGAAAAACTTGGCAAAATTGATTCTTGCAGGCAATAATTATAATAATCATTAATTATATCTTGGTTCCAAACATTTTCATCGAATGGTTTGTTAATTTTCACTGCGACGAAAACATTCTTCTCGATGTAATCGCTAATCGCTTTTTGACATTTGGAAATGTTGTTGTCACTCGATGTTTTCAACGAAATTATGTTTGCTATAACGAGCCGAATGCAAATTTTGTGCGTGTTTAACAGGTTTACTTACTCGATATTGGACATGAGAACTGTTCGTCGCTCTCATCCTGTGTTTGTGAGTTTGACATAACATCTGCGAACGTTTTCAATAAAATACGTTGATTTTCGCCGAGAGAAAACACAATTCTCCAATAGCGATTTTTGAATTCAACATTTGCAAGTTGTGATTTCATTTCGTCGATAAAAACCTGAACGAATTGCTTCCGTTGTGGGATATTTTCCCATTTATTTGTGGAGTATGCTATTACTCGCACACTGTCCGCATAATATTGATCAAGTCGTCGAAGTGAAAGAGATATGAAAGTTCCTATCGACTCCTTCAGAAGAATTTCTGATTGATTGTTGTAATGCTTGATTTGAGGAGGCGACCATGATAGATAGAGAAGCTTCTGACCTGTATTTGTTTGAAAGTATCCATGCTGACCCTTTGGTTCGATTTTGTTTTGCACACAATCCTCGGCAGTTGATAGTATGATCACATCAGCTTTGAAACGATCTGGTCTTTGAATTTCTAATGTTTTGTTTGCTATAGAGATAGCTCTTGGTACAAACAATGTCGAGCAGGATTGACTTGATTTCTCGGACCTCATTGAAATCTTTCCTTTGGGTAAACTGATAAGTTCTTCTTGCGTATCTACTAGAATATTATCGATTTCACAGTTGTGATTTCTGGCTAGGCCATGTAACTGTAAACGATCTTGATCGGTCAAGTGAAATACATTTTCGAGGGATTTAAAAGTTAGATTGACTGTTTGAAAAATCATCGACTGAATCAATTGTTTGATGATTTTCACAAGATATTGAGGCGAAATGAACGAATCTTCACGAATTTGTATTTTCACATTGTCTTCTTCATAATTTAACTCAATTTGTTTCAAAGAAGAACCGCAGTTGTTCAATAGATATTCACGCTAAAACCAGAAGCATTATATTGACTGTCACAATGCTTTCATTGTATCCTACCTGTTGCGAATCCAGATTGAGTACTGTTGTTTTTGTCTGATGTTTATGTACGAGTAGTTTTAACTGTTTCTTTACCACGTGAACCGTTTCTTTCATACCGAAAAGACTAATTTTCATATCTGTTTGAAATGGAGACTGATAGGAAATGATAGTCATGGGTTGACTTGTTCGCTGCTCGTTTTTCCGGCTATTGACGAATTCATTCAATTCACTCTGATACTTTCCGCGAACATTCGATACGATTATATCTTTGACGAAAGATATCTCATGATTTAAAGCATGTTCGATGGAGTTTTCGATGACACTGGCTTCTTGACTTCCAGAAAGGTAATACACGATGTAGTACCCAGATAGAAGACTAGTTTTCTCCCATACAGTCAAGATGCGCTTGCCGAGGAAGATTTTTTGCAAGACAACAACAGCTGAATCACAATAAATATTCTTGGACCATCTGATTACTGTAGGATGAAACAAACGACATGGATTCTTTGTGAATGTACTGATGATCTACTAACCTTTTGGGTTTGTGTTTTCTTCATTGAAAACTCGAGTGCATATTGTAGTGAACAATGATCGGAGATTACTGTAAGCAGTTAGTACATTTTGTTGCATGCCAAATAGTCGAACGGATAAGTCGTTCGTTGGAACGGGAAGAGTGATTATGGGGATGTCGCACTTGACATCAAAGGTTGTTGATAAATAATTTGTTAAATACTCACAGATCAATTCACTCCGAAAAAACTTCATTGTTGTACTTGCCGAATCAACAATGAGTAATTTGGAGTATGATTTCGAATCATCAGTTGTTTTGCCGGTGGATTGAGGAAATGAACTAGAGTATCAGAATGATATTTCATGCCTTGGGGGGAAAAAACAAGCTTTTAAATCTCTATTTTACTAAGTACCTGTGTTCCTTGTTGCTCATAGTTGTGTGCAATATTCCATTTACCATTCCGCTGTGGAGAAAGATAACATTATAGAGAGTGATCAGCAATCAATCAATTAGTTAATTACTTATTTTGGAATCTTTGCTGACTCTGCTTCTCATTGGCAAGCGATTTACATTCTTCCAACTTAGCCAAAAACTTCCGTCGTGTTCTCAGCGTTGCATTTCGTCTTCTTCCGTTTTCGTCGACCGTCGCGAGCAATTTCACAATATCATCTTCACACAACCCCAGCAATGCTGCGCCGTCAATATCTTCATCTATAGTAACGAAGTCAAATATGACAGTATAACCGAAGTAACTTACTTATAAAAGTTTGTGTATACCGTTCAAAACCATTGGTTTCCAACCATTCGAGCACTTCTTCTAAAGTCCAGCTCGCCATTGATCAATCTACAAATCATAATTAGAATTGTATTTGAGAGCGTGTGAAGAATTATACTTCAGTGACCTCCGATTAGATACATCTTTCAACAAAAGTTTTCGTATCATAATCAAATGGAGTTTCACATGCATATATGTACTCAGTAAATATGTAACATAAGATTTTTATCACACGGGAATCAAACACTTATGTTGCATATTTTCGCCGTAAATCATGGATTGATTACAACGTCGAAGAGGAGTATAATTCGATTCAGTTTCATCAGTATAAGCCCTACCTCGTAGTTTAGTCTTTGGATTGTGGTACGTAAGTATTTGTATAAAATTTTGTTCTGGCAATTTGTGATGAAAAGTGTTTGTCGGGCTCGTTTGAAATAGAGTGAAGTATTTACATACTACAGTTTATTTGTACTTGCTTTCAATCACTTCTCTACGCTGTACTCTTCTCGGAATGAATTTCTTTTGAGTGTCGTAAAAAAGCAGATGTAGCGAAGAAAAGTAATAACAAATTTCTATTTGCCGATCGAAAATTTACCAAGTAGAGAGAGTAGGAAGCAATAACAATAAATCACTGGCATATGGAAAGTGGTGTGTTTTTGCTTGATTGAAAGTTTATTTGACAAGAAGCGAACGAGGAATATAACAAAATTTTATGATTGAAATTTTTTTATTGAATTTTTGTGCGGAATAATAGTGACAAGTTGGAAAAAACCATGCGAATAATATGTCTAAGAGAGAACTCTTAATCATTGGAGAATGAAACAACAAAAATTCAGTTGCTTTGCAGTGCACTACATCCTCACTCAGATTTCTTTCATTTCAGGTTAATAAACATTTTTACGCGATAGGTTATGGCTAACTGGACCGTAGGCCAAGTCAATCGCTGGTTGAAAGAGAATGGATTCAAGAGATACATGAAAAGATTTCAAGGTAAAGTAAGCTTTTTTTCATTTGGCGATCACCGATTGCAATCATTTCATCTATTAATTAGAGCTGAATATAAATGGCAACGCTCTGATAGCTTTAACCGACGAACAGATCGTGGACGCACTCTCTGAATTTGCTGATGATGGCACAACTGTGAAACCTACTATTGGAGCTCAAAGCCGATTCCGTGAAAAACTGAGGGAGTTGAAAAAACTAAAAGCGAATTCGAAAATACCATCACAGCATGATGAGAATCAACCGACAACAGTAATCATTAAAGACAAAAAGAAACGGTCAAGCTCGAAAAACCCTGATCCATCATCTTCCTTCCCGATCAAACAAAAACTAAGCAAGACCAAGCATGAGTTAGTAAAAACATACTAAATTGTTAATAACTTGGCTAGTGTCCTTTTATTATTCAGACAAGAGAGTGATTCATCATCAATCAGGAGTTCGCATCAATCTCAACCAAATGAAAATGGTCATGTAAGTTCTATTTGGAAACTTTTATTTTCAAGATGTCAATTTGTATATAGAATGGACATCAGAAGAGTCAGTACGAGTATCCGATTGATAACACCGACCTGACTCAATTCTTTGAAAATCAATCGTTTGTTTCGTATGTCCTCGGATATGTCAAAGAGAAAACCATTAGCATCCCAATTGATGTTAAAAAAGCATTGTGTGGTGATGCAATCTCATCAACGAAATTTGTTCTTCACTTCACTGCAACAGAAGAGCAATACCAGACAGTTGTCAACTTCATCGAAAAATTATTTCAAACAGTGCAGATTCGAACATACAAACAACAAAAGGGTAAAGTGTTAACATCAAAATGTCACCTACCACCTATATTTAGCCCTTTATAGTCAAGAAATGTCTTTCCCATGCATCAGCTCTTTCCATTCTGCAACGTATTCTCGATCACGAATGTCAAATGTTCACAATATGTCGGATAAGCACGATCCCAGCAAAAGCGGTATGCTCAATCTGGAAAGCAAATTTGATATGTTTATGTTTCACTTCCATTTCAGCATAAAACAAATGCAGCAGTGTTAGAAATAGTCTATTTTGATGATGATGAATTCAATAATTCTCATCGAATTGCTGAGATCGATGATATTATTGAAAATCACATTTCTCAAGAGAGATTGTTTCTTTCCAAGATAGATAGTTCCCTTCTAGTTGAATATTTCGATGTGGACTCTTGCAGAATCATTCAACAGGAGAAAATCTATGCAAGGAAAGAATATCAGATGGAATTCGATGACTTAATCGCCAAATTCCAACAGAAAAACAAAACATTCGTGACAATTACCAAGAGCAACTCTATCAGGCGGTCAGATCAAACTGTTATCGATATATTCGGAAAGAAAAACATGGTTAATTCCTTTCTATCTAAAGTCGAAAGTTTATTTCGAAAATATCGAGTGAATAAATACAAATTCAGTCAATTGTCGACAACAGAAGTATGTTCCCATTTCTTTGAAGGCCTTATTTTTTGAGAACTACGCATGTTTAGATCGATTGTTTGATTCAAATTGGTTCGAATGCAGTGAAAATGACCCAGAAAGATTTGAATAGTTCTGGCGTGAGAATCGATTTGGAAAGACGTGTATTCTACGCTCCACCCTATCTCTCAAATGATGTCGAATCTCGACTAAAAACTGTGCTATCTAGTTTCAATCGACTTGTCATTGACACACATGGTTTCTACTATGACATTGCGGAAAAGGCCATGTCTCATATAGAATACCTCGCAAAGAACAGTCATTGTTATTGCAAATTTAAACTGAAGAAAAACTTCCGATCGTTTCCAATGTTGCGCAGATCGACCGGGAAATCTGCACTTCTTGCGTTAACACACGAGTCAACCGCTCCGTTGCCATTCTTTGCATGTGAAGCCAAATTTGAAAGAGGAGCTATAACCGTCTCAATTGCAGACATCACAGACCAACAAGTAAGCATAGGAAAACATTAAAAGATTCTCTGACTATGACATACAATTCTAGGCGGATGTCTTTATCATTCCGTCGCTGACTTCAGGATTGAAAGAACACTTAATCGAGCGAGCAGGTCATATAGAGGAACAACCTTCAAAATCTAATCGAAGACATCAGGACGAGTCCATGCCATTTATCACCGAAACAAGCGCAGGAAGATTAAATTGCAAGAAGATTCTCTTCGTTAATTGGTCGTTGCCTGGAAAGTCGATCGATGAAGATCTCTTATGCGAATCCGTTCGAACGTTTGTGTCTCATGTGATTCAGTACATACTCAAAGCTGAAAGACGGTCGAATCGTGAGACATTATCGATTGCAATTGTCATGCCCGATTCAATTCATAATGAACAAACTATTGCCGAAGAGATGATCGATGAAACTCTCTGTCACATTCGACAAGTCAATTCCACTTTACTCAACGTATCTTTCATATTTTTACCAGACCAACAAAATCTATACAAACATTTTGTGAAGATTGTTCAGCCTCTCCAAACTGACGATAAAACTTGCGGATATTTTTACTGTCCCACGTCAAGTAAGGACTAGTTACAGCACTCATATAGAAAATCACTGCTTTTTGATCATTTATTTTATTGCAGCAGCGACTGTTACTCTGATTGCATCGAACAAGCAGCATCTAACTCAATGTGAACAGAAAATCAATCATTACTTAGAACGATCGATGTGTAGTCGAACAGTCTATGATTTCACTGAATGGGACCAAGATGCAATCAACGGATTTTATTCATACTGTCGTCAAATATCAGTGCTACCACAAATGAATGAACACGAACAACTTGTTTTGTTTGGTCCGATAACTAACGTTAATCAAGCTTATGAAAAATATCGGTTGACCCATGTCTTGATGCGAATTCGGGGGTCAACAGAGGAGAATCGAATTGCAAATGCTATGAACAATTTCAAAATAGTGTTGAGTTATGCGCTCGAAGATTCGAGAGTATGTGAACAGTTACGAACACATCTGGTCAACGAAGGCTTTTTTGTTTGGATGCGATCTGATTCTTCTGACAAGAGTTCATCAAAAATTGAACGATCGAATTTAGTTATCTTGTGCTTAAGCGAAAATTATTTTCGAGATCAAAATTGTATTGACGAAGCTAGATGTGCTTATGAAAAGCACAAAAGTATTATACCAATTAAAGTGGAATACTGTCAACCGATCAGATCGTTACGGCAAATAATAGATCAAGAGACTTGTTTCTCGTTCTTCGGATCACGGGAGTATTTCAATTTACAATTCGATAGGCTATTATTGAAAATTGTAAGTAGATCTTCTTAGAATTTTGTTGTTAGTGTAAACTTGGAATTGTTTCATAGTTCCAGAATATCAGATCGAGTCAACAACGAGAAGATTCGGTTTTGGAGTATGTTCGAAAGGATCCACATTTGAATTTTCTATTAATTCCAAAGCAGCGCAGATCGATCTATGAAGAATATTCACAGAAATTGATGAAGTTCAAGAGAGGAAGAATACAGGACAAAGAAAGACGAGATCTTATCAAAGATGTTCAAGACATGATCGAAGAGAGAGAAAATCTACTGGAAAATGCACATCATAGATCCTTTTTCCTGCCACGAGCGGCTGATACAAGTGATCCAGAATACGAACAACGACGTGCTATTGTTCTCGAGATGGTGCGCTATGATTTTGGCATATCGTCGCTAAAACAATGGATCGATGGAATTATGCAGAAACTATCGAAACTAAATCTTCATCCATTTACGTACACAGGCGATATTAATGATGCGCCATTTCCAGTGCTTGATGTCGTACTGCAAAATAGCTATTTGTCGGGCCGCGTCAGTCCAGATTCTTGGATATGGAATCTGTTACCAAACACGAAAAGAGATTTGAGAGAATCAGCTAGAAAAGCAGCGAAGAGCGATAAATTAAAGAATTCTAAAGGTGAAAAGACACACAAAGACTCAGTCGGTCCCAAACTCAAAAAGGAAAAGGTTGAAGACTCGAAGCGCGACCGTGAACCGAAAAAGAATATAGCACGCGGTTCCAAATCTCAAGGTAAGAACGATCAACGTGGCTCTTCGTACTCTAAGGAGCAACTCAAGAAATATCAATCCGAATTTGCCAAACGCATGAGGCAGAGCTGGATTATCTTCGAAAAGGTATGTCGAGAGTATAAACCCCAGTCAAGAAATCTGGCAAAAGAGAAAACAAAAATCAATCTAACCGCCATATTCACTCCGTGTCCGTTTTCCAGTGATGCTCGACCAAGAAAAGCTTTAAAAACTCGTCCTGCGACCGATCTTCCGCTAAAATTTGTTTGGAATGGAGTACAAGACGATTGTAATCGAAAATCACTGCGCAACAACACATTATGCTTTTTCTCTTACGAACAACCAGTATCACTAAACAACTAATCTAGCACACGAACATTTACCCACAAATTCAGCGTTACCTGCCAACTTCGGTCATACAGCAAACATGATTCATTTTCATAGTAGATGTGACAATCTTTGTTTTTTTCCTTGTAGTTAAGAAACAAACCAATGATGAATATAGTCTACAGATGCTGAAAAGCATCATTCCTGTCATATTTTCGAAACATACGTAGTTCTATATTATTCGCATTTTCTCTTTGTTAATGATGTCGAATAAAACACATCGCAAGACTTTACTGATCGCTCACAGAAAGGATCTTCACTTGTCTATCGAACAATTCCAGCTGCGCTTCGCTCAATCAATCCATACATGCAGTATTCATTACTTACCACTTATGGACACCGACTTGTTTCTAAATTAATATCGACAATTCATACTCCCAGTGATAAAACAGCCCTACTGTTTGTATTTATGACATCGATTTCAGTTTTGAAACAGATTATCAATGTGCGATACATTGTGGAAGAGAAAGTTAATCTTTCCATAGCCGTCATTGGGATCCGGTACACTTCGCCGGCTGATCTTTTTGCCAAAAATTTCAAAACATAAAATCTTTTTGTAATCGAATCCTGAGGGAACCGATGCAACAGCCACTTTTAACCAGATTCTGCCATAGTTACACTATCCTCACTAAGACCTTCCCCAAGACCCTGATCTTCAAAATAATGATGGCCACACAAGTTCAGACTAGAATTTATTTGTCGGTAAAGTAATTGCGACCCATATTTAAAAAAAAATTAAAAGACACGATTATGCGAATTAGGCCGTGGATTTTACAGTGAAATGCTGTATTTTATTGTTTCTTGTAATAAAAATCAAAGAAGCGTCTTTTTCTCGAGATTCACTACTAGATGAATTTTTCTCCAGACGATGACAGCAACAACGATCGTTGATAAGAGATTGCAGGTCGCTAAAATTGTGAAGAGTGGTCCTTGGCGCATGAAATTAATGATATAATCAGTCAATGGTAAAGCCACTGATGTCATCATTTGTTGTAAACAGCTATTCACTGAAATGATGCCGCCGGCATGCTGTTGATATTTGATAGTAAAGTAGGACATTACTCCTGGTCGAGCAGCTGTTTGGCCAAAGCAGGATAAACCAGAGCCAAGGATCAGCAGAGCAGCAGACCAATAATAGTGAAGTGTCCAGCCATACAAAATCAAACCAACAACGGTCAAAATAGAAAATATTAGTCCAGGAATGATTCGTGCTTCGGGAATTGCAGAAATCAAAAAGCGTTTATTACCAGCCAGATCCGATAGAATACCCCCACAGAGGGAACCTGCAATGAGGCCCATTCCACTCATAGTGAGTAATATTCCAACTGTATTTTCTCGATATGAATATGGTGGTTGGGAAAGTTTGAGAGGAAGAAATAGAAAGGTCCAGTTCATAGATACATATCCCACCACAAGCATCACACTGTAAGGAAGAACTGTGGAGTCAGTCAGATACAACAAATTGGCACATGGATTGACGAATGTTGGTTTACAGATCTCATCAGATTCCAATAAACTACCTCCGTGTTCTTTTTCATATGCACACATTACCGCGTATTGTTGACTTTCCGGCACAAATATGACATAACTTACAAGCAGAACGAATGAGATTGATGCAGCTACTAACAGTGTTGATCTCCATCCAAAATACGCAGAAACTTGTCCGCCGATCACTGGTCCGAGAGCATTTCCAGTAAAATATGCAGTGTAATAAATTCCATATGCAACTCCCCGAACTCGTGGCTCATACAGATCGCTGATTATTCCTTGTACTACAACAATTGTTATCGAAATTAAACCTCCCTGTATTGCACGACAGATGATAAACATATAAATATTGGTTGAAAAATAGCACATAATGACAGAGAAAGTAAATATACTCAATCCATAGATAATCACTGGTCGACGTCCGTAGAAATCTGATAACACTCCCCATAATAAACCAGAAAGACTGGCTGTGAATAGATAGATACTAACAGTAAGTAAACCTAGCGTCTCTGTCGACTGAAACTCGTTGACGATAGTTGACATCGATGGAAGGTAAACAGTTTCATCAAATGTATATAAAAAACCGAGACCACTTATGATATAAAGGATTAAATACTTTCTTGTTTGACTATAAACATTATAAATGCTGGGTAAATTTTGCTTCTGTTGTTGATTAGCTCCTAGTAGCATTTTACTAATAGTATATTATGCGAGGAGAAAATCAACCGTGATAAGATACTTATTGTTATAACTAGTCATTCATGTCACTTTTCATCCAAAAGTATTTTGAATCATATCATAAAACGCCATTTTCGCCAGTCATATTTGCATTCACCATTGTTTACGTTTTTCTCATAGAAATAGAATATCTAATCATAATATACGTATGTGAGTCATCATTATAGACCGAAAGAGAAGCGAACAACTAATTGACAAGAAAAAGAAGAAAGAAAAGTATTCATTAGGATAATCATTGAAAATTTCATTGGACCAGACAATCTTTATTTTGCAGGAGATGGTATGTCTTAATATCCAAGACTTTATGTAAGCATAGAATATCAAAAAAATCTTTCGGTATGAATGCCCATCGTCAAAAGTCGAGCAGATGCAGTTCGATCATGCATCTATATTTCAGGGATGTGTTCTTCGATGCCAACGATATAGTTTTTTTTCGTTAATTTGCATTTCGTCAGAACAAGCTACCAGAACCCATCGTTTATAGTATATAGTTACTCCAGATCAGTTGATATATTCATTTGTGGTTCAAAATGAGAGTGAACATGATGATAGACGTAATGAATATTTCTGAGAAAGGAACCTTGTATCTATGAAAAATTACGCTTGATACCAAAGTGCAAAATATCTTTATGTTTGATCACGATGGAGAGGAAAGCAAAAGTACTCTTATCGTTAACAAATAACGGCCATAAAATAAATCAAAATGAGAGTAATGATAGATAATGTCAATAAATGTGCGATATTCGCGGCTCGAATCTCACACACACAGCGACTATTATTGGATGCCTAATATTTTTATTCTTATGGGAAAAATACTAGGTGAAGGTCAAAATCGAAGTTCTGGATAGCTCTGTTATTTGATCACATATAATGTCGTCTTTTGTAATAGATGATTTGCGTATTAATGATATGGATTCATTCAATTGCCCTCTGTGCTTCTAATATTTCTTGCCTATTACTGTTCGTGTTAGTAACTTTACCACCATCATGTTTGACTATTGCTGCTGTAACCGAAGAAAATAAAATACATGACGTGTTAGCAGAGGGGTAAAAATCTGCTGAGTTGATTTCGAAATGATTTTCCTCGAGTTATCTGTTGAGCGGAGGATTTGCATAGTACGTGATCTAGTCTACAAAATTCATTTTACGATCGCTCAATGGCATCATTTTCTTGTTGAAATTCTCGAATAAATCGAAAGATTCTGTACGTTGCGCGATTGACCAAGTTCATGTTTATTTCAACAAAAAAAAGAACTGTTTTGTCACGTTATAAAATCGATAGGATGAAAAGTCGATTTGCTGATTAATGCGCTATGTTCAATTGTGGTTTTCGGTGGTTTCTATAAGCATATGGAGAAACGCGTTCTTCATAATGAAGATGCGGTCCAGTCGTTCTTCCTGTGTTTCCACTTTTACCAATTTCTTGTCCTGCTGACACTCTTTGTCCGACACCAACCGTTTTCTTGCTCAAATGTGCGTAAAGTTGACGAATTCTATCAGGAGATTCAACAACAATATGAGTACCGTAGTCAGCACCCCAGTTGGCATTGATTACTGTGCCACTGGCTGTTGCACGAACACTTGTCCCAACTGGACATGCATAATCGTCGCCAGTATGGTAACCGGCTGCCCAACTGCCTTTCTTGCCAAATGGAGTAGTGACTGGTCTGCCTGGGACAGGTAGATGAGCAAAGACGACAGCACAGAGTGCTAAGAGAGAAACGAAGAACAAGTTATTCAACATGTAGATTTTGTACTGCACTTAGTAGAAAACAAATTGGCGTGAGTTATTTATAATGTGGAAAGTGGTCTATGAGAATAAATGAAGACTGCAAGATAAAATTAATCTTATGATAAAAAGCTATGCTCAGTGGGCAATGAGAGAGCGTAACAGATGTGCATCTTCTTGTATTTTAGAACAGATATCGATATTCTAGAACAGTCATCATGAGCTTTTATCCGTAGGCCTACTCAATAAAAATGTCTTAGATAGTTGGTTCTAACTTTAACAATAGTCTGCGTTCGAAGTAGCATGATCGAAAAAATCGGGCTTCTTCTTCAGAAATTAACTTTGCTTGTATTTTATTAGACTCGGCATCATTATAAAACGAGATTTGCAGTTATAATACTACTTCAATATTCTATCTTATATTTCTGTCCGATCGTATTACAAAATTGAGCATTTTCATTCAAACTTTGCTTAACGATGTGCATACGTATCGACGCAATGCACTAGATGCCACTAAAACTTGTTTTATGAAGATACGCTTGGATGAAGATTAGTCATTGCTCGAATTTTTATCAATGACGATCAATACAGGAAAAAATCAACTAATCTGAGCCTTTCATGCGGATTAGTTCATTTCTTTTTTTTTGTAGGAAGTGACAAATATGAATCGGCCTTCATACCCTATCGAGCGAAATACAAGCGAAAGCACATATGTATTTCGTTTTGCTTCGCTATTTAATATTGAATAAAGCAGATTTTTGTGTCAGCGACGATTGGCTATGCGATGCCCGGGGTGACCCATCGCAAGAAAACATTTTTCCAAGTTAGAAGATCTTTGAGTTTCATATGTAAATATGTGCTCTAGTTTTGTCTAGATTTGAGGAACCTAGCTGGTCTTAACTCACCATATCCATGGTTGCTCTTGGTGTTTCATCTGTGTTATTTTAGATCGCTCAACATGTGTTTTTAACCACAAAATGGCTAAAACGTGTACATGTTCCTCCTGCAGCATTCATCTATATGATGAGCTTGACGGAGCCAACTTATGGCTATGCTATTGCTCCAGGCTGGGTTTTGCTGGGAATCATTTTTCGAAAAGTAGTACATCGATGGTGGTCTGATCGTTATGCGTTCTTATTTCAAATTGGTATGTTTATGGGAACATCGGTTGTTACATATTGGATCTTTTTCATATTCACTTATAACAGTATAGCATTTCCGAATTGGTGGGGAACGCAAATGGACTTCTATAGACTTGCCTACGCTAATGTTGATGGAAAGATTCTCGACCACTGACTGTTTCGAAATTTTCTTTTGATAAAACAAAAGAAAACCTTAAATATAAGTACTGTTCTATTACTCTTAGCCTCTTTCTTACCATATGTCACATCATTCAAGCACTTTTTTCACAACGTGAAACGAAAGTTGCTCATATTGACCTGTCCATTGTTTTCGATGAATAGATACACGTATAATCGATATCGTCATTACAAGTTTCAGCAGCATAGCTCTATAGAAACACAGTGAAAAGAACATGTCAACGGAACAACAATCTCCCATTAGGAAATTATCTCAAGTTGGTGCATGTTGAGTTTAGCTTCGTTTTCAGACACAGGCCCGTCTTCTCCATATAAGTTAGATGGCTAGGAGTCATAATCATACAAGAAAATATTTTCATAAGGTCTGCCATTTCCATAAAGAACTGTAAGAGGCAGGAAGACTGCATTTGTTAATTATTTTTCTCTCCGACAGAATCTCGGAAAGCTTCATCCATGAGCGATACTTCTTTCAAACGCGAAAAGCATGTTAACAAAAAAAAACTACGCTAATGATGATCTACTGTTAAAGAAGACAAAAAAAAGAACTTCATTTCCGTAGCGTGTCGTCTATGCTAGGAAATATTCTTCGGCTATTCCTCCTGTGCGTCACATCAGTCGACTTGTATCGGTACAAAGCAGTCTGTGAACTTGTTCCTGGAAACCAGGAAACATAGTATAATTTTATCAACCAATCAGACATCGTATTTATTAATTAACGTTTACACAGACCAACGCACAATAAGTCTCACTGGAGAAAATGAAATAAACCGTCAGAAAGATCGTTGCGAGCAACTAAATACATTTTAGCCGACTGCTTGTAGATACCATAGTTCAGCTATTATTAAACTTCATATAGCAAGTGCATTCTGCGCAGTTGTCAGTGCGACGGAGATTTACTATCGATTGAAATAGAGCGATAAAGTCGGTGTTCTACATTTCTAGTTGATATAAAAGAACCAAATATGGGGAGTGGTTGTTGCAAGAAAGCAGTAATTGTCGATGCATCACTGTCTATCGTACAGATTCAAAACACGGTTGCAACGGAATTACCTTTCGGATATGTGTTCATTTATCCAGGCAAGTTCATTTCTAAGAAACATTAACAGTTAAGCTAGAATCTACCTTAGAAATAATACTCTTAAAAATTAACAGTAACCCTGAACTCGGATATTTCTAGGTGTTCCAACAGTACATCAAACTTACACTTGTCCAATAGTTTCCATTCATACATATTATCAATCATTTGACAAAACTTCCGTTGACTATGCGTCAATGCAATTGTCCAATAAAAAGCAGTATGACAAGCAGATACATTCCCTGGTTAAAACAAAGGAAGAAAATTTCTCTTTGAATGAAATGGTCACGATGATTCCAGTGGAGGATATTATCAGCATTCACTACACCGTAGATTTAAAGAAAAGTACAAAATTGAAAGAAAATATGCGACAAGTACCTGTTGTCGATCAACAAGGATGCTGCTGTTGTGCGGTGCCTAAGCCTGAACACCAAACAGAAATGACTACAGAAAATCATGTCCAACGAATGATTACAATCCATCTACAATACTCTAAGCACAGTAATTTGGATACAGTGTCCAATGCGCGCATTTTGTCTGGAGATGATCGGCAACAATTCTACAAGGATCATTTTCAACCAGCTACGGAGAAGAAATTCTATTTGGTTAATAACATAGAGCATGATTCGAAAGATTTCGAACAGAAAAAATTACAAGCGGAGAGCCTTTGCCGAATTATTACGCAGATGAAAGGCATGAATGTTGGCGTTCCATCAACGTCGATATCTTATCCGAATCCGCAGGAATTTCAAGAAATACTATCTCAGCCTCACTCGAGTGTTTTCGGCGACATAAGTCAAGAGAGGGTACATTCTGTACAGGCACAAGCGCTAGGAGCAGTTACCACATGGACTGCTACACCTATGGAAGCACGACTGGGGAACAAGCCGAAATAAAGTGACTATTGACGAATCATAAATGTTGTAACAAGAACATTATCGGTGTTGGGATTGTATATAATGCTTCGTGTTCATTTTAATCCAGAACAGAGGATTTTCAAAATAATATAGAAAATCAAGGTCATTTGATGATATAAAGCTTTTGTCGCTAATTCGTTTGCGATTGCATTGAAATAATGCTATATGAAATACCAAAATTGTCAACACTAATTCTTATTTGTATGATATTTCCAGCCGCATGGTGGATACTTCGCTGTATTGAGAAAAACAAAGAACGAATGTTTATCATATAGGTAGAGTGTACATGTTCATTAGTTCCAATATGTTCTATTGAATGCTTCGAAGACAATAGTTCATACATAACACTTCACACACGTAACCCGATATAATAAGTAAAAGTAATCAATATGAATGGTTGTATTCTGTTGTTGTTTTTTACAAATAAAGTAATGTGCACGTCATACAGGTATATCTTATGGACCAATCATATTATTCATAGTTTTGCCCTATCTTTTCATACACTACCACAAAATATTGATATGATATAATGTTAGAAAAGATCAAACGCATTGTACTTTGCGTACAATTTAACACTATCATCAATCAATAGTAACAGAATCCAAATCTTTTGTCAAAGAAAGTAAGGAACAAGATATAATCACTGTCCGTCGAGAAGGCTTCTCGATATACCGAAGACATTCAAGAACGCCATACTTTCAATGAAATCGTGTACAATAGTATATCTGTGTAGAGTTATGCACTAAGCATTTCCTCTTCTTATATCTCGCTGCTTCTGTCAAAGATGGTATCAGCAGAAAAGTAGTAATTGTGATAAAGCCGTCAACATTAATTTATTATCATTTGTCACGCAAATCGACAACGGCAGGACATATTTTCGTTCTACAAAATTATGCACGCTTACACATAAACGAAAAAGCAATGCAGCATAATATTATTCAGTATCGTGTTGGTGTTTATACTATTTCGTCAATGCTATTTGCTTTGCAAGGTATTCGAATATATAGGCTGTGTGATTAATGTAACTATCTTAATATTTCATATGAAGAAAATACACTACTAATTGATCGAAAACGAAGAGTCAAACATGCCAGTACGTATATATATACGTATATGCTCTATATTCATATTGATTCAAATTGCTTCTTTCGTTTTCGTGCTTCCATCATTAATAACAGGTAATAAGTGTGAGGGTGATTGGATGCGTTTTGATTTGAGTCAGATGAAGTTCGAATATTACTTAGTTTATACAGTACACGCGGAATAAATGTTCATTAGTTTTAATCTATTAGAACGCGTTTTATCACACATTCATTTGAGAGTCGCTGAGTTAGTTACTTTTCTACTCCCTTCAATAGATGTACGATTGAATTGATTTCAGTGATTGTCATCACATGTTTTCATTTGTAGAAAACATATTGATCGAGAGAATGAAAGTACACACACTTTCTCGAATGTCATTGCCACATATGAGACCTCCCACTTAAGATTCTGTTCGTACTTATTGGACATTTTGTAGCATTCCATTCGATATCAGATTTTTAGTGTGAAGTCACACGATAATGAAACATTTCGTAATTGCGAGCTTTTAATTGAACTCGTGAGATCGGAATCAGTCGGACGAGTCAATTTTCGAGACAATCACTGACCTAAAATATCTATAAAGAATGGAATGAACGAATGATCATTTCTATTATTTAGCAAATCTTCTATTATAAGATGACTCGCACCCCACGACGAAAACAGAACACAATCGGCAGCTCCAATGATCGTGTCGATTCAATGGGCACCAATGTTTATTCAGCCAAAGATGATAAAAGCATGCATAAATCTTTAAATGGAGAATTTTTCCTTTATCAATCATTACTCAATCAAATCTTGGATGAAAATCAGTCATCACTAAGCGAGGAATCAGCACTAGTCGAATACTTCGAACCAGACGATGTCGATGACAACAAAATTATGAATGAATTCGACAAGAGTTACAAACCCGAAAAAGCTATTCATTGGTATACGAGAGAAAGTTGTATTTACAAAATTTTGAACAAAGCTTTACGAACACAAAACATTGATGATGTCAATCCATTCGACTCATTTATACGCGATTTGAATGTGCAATTAGCTGAACAACGGAAAATATTTGTTAAACAACAATCGAAACCATTTATTAAAGTCTATCGTGGACAGTTTATCAGTAAGGATGAAGTTAACCGTCTAAAGTCCGGTATTGGACAATTGATCGCGATGAATTCGTTTCTGTCTACGAGTACAAACAGAAAGAAAGCTTTGGAATTTGCTACGAGTCGTCCGCCGCCAAATGACACGCTAACATCGATTCTGTTAGAAATACACGTAAATTTAAATGCGAAATCAAAACCATTTGCAGACATTCGAACCTTAAGTGCATTTCCTGAAGAAGAGGAAATACTCTTCATGCTCGGCTGCGTTTTTCGCATTGATAATATCGTTTACGACGAACAAAACAAACTTTGGATGGCGAATTTAACTCTATGTTCAGAAGAAGATCCAGATATGAAAAAGTTTTCGTCCTCATTGAGCGATCAAAGCAAAGGACAGAATCAGTCGATTGCAATTGGATACAATTTCATAGACATGCTTCGCTACGACGATGCTCGGAAACACTTCGAGAAAATCTTAAAACAAAACGCAGCCATAACCGATCTCGAGCGTGCGTTTTGCTACCATGGACTTGCAAAAGTGAATGAAAAACAAGGAAACTTGAAACTATCGATAGAAAATCTCAATCAAGCGCTGAATTGTTTATCGAATGACGATCCACTGATTGCAATATGTTACAATGATTTGGGATTAGCACATTGTGGTCGAGGTGATTATAAGATTGCATTCGAATATTTTGATAAAGCTTTGCAAACGAAAAATAACGTTCCGTCCACTACTTATGCCGGCTTGTCGGAAGTTCATTTTCAAATGAAGAATTATTGTGTTGCATTCGAATTCTTGGAGAAATCTCTTCAGAATCTGCTCCAAACAGATCTCGTCTCGATTGTCAAAACATACATTAATATGGGAAAGCTCCATGTTTTGATGAACAGAAAGGAAGAAGCAACAAAAATGTTCGATAAAGCTTTAGAAACACAAAGTAAAGAACTCTCTCCGGATCACCCAGATCTCAGTTACACGTACGCAGAAATCGGCCTGATGTTCTCTCAAATCGGCGACCAACAAAAAGCCTTAGAATATTTAAAAAAAGCCTACAAATTACAATCACAAACGCTACCATCCAACCATCCCGATTTCGCACTATCTTTTCGGCAGTTCGGTGATGTCTACATGAAATTGAATCAGCCAGACACGGCACTTTCTTATTACAATAAACTATTAGACAATCAACTGAAAACTTTAGCGACAAATCATCCGTCCGTGATTGAAACTTACTACCTCATTGGACGTGTTTACTGGGAAAAGAAACGAGATTTTAGCCAAGCGTCAACTTATTTCAATAAAGCACTAGAGAGTGAGTTGAAACGAAGCAAGAAAGGCGAAGCACCGTTGAGTGTGGCGTATAGAACACTTGGCGAACTTCATTTCGATAAATACCAAGTTCAACCTGATGAAAATGATTTGAATAGTGCTTTGAATTTCTTTTTGAAATGTCTGGAAAACGAACTGGAAACGAACTTGCCTGAAGATGAATCGTTAACCTTTCTCTACAAAGCCCTCAGTACAATCTGTTGGAAGAAACACGACTTAAGCCAAGCATTGGTTTATTACAACCGTCTCGTTGCTTGCTATCTCCAAGTCAAACCAACGGATCAGTCGTTGATCGACAAAACTTACGCGTCAATCGGAGAAATTTATCTGAAAAAGTCGCAACTTGATAAAACGATTCTTTACTATCATAAAATGGACAAGAACAAGATGAAGAACGATTCTCGATTCATCGATAATCTCCATTTTGAAAAACGTCACTTAGAACTATCTTTAAACTACTTTGAGAACCTTCTCAACAAGCAGCTTGAGACCTATCCCAAAGGAAAATCTCTATTATCGAATACTTATTACATTTTAGCAATGATCTCATACGAGAGAGAGGATTTCGATCGATCAGTGGAATACTTTCTTCGTCTATTAGCGAATCAATTGGAAAGAAGACCAGTCGACGATCCATCGCTGGAAAATATATTGAGAGCGATCGGGACAATCTATTTCCAGCAAGGTAATTACGAAAAAGCATTGATCTACTTCCGGAGACTACTCGATTGTCAATTGAAAACGAAGAGAAATAGTCATTCTTCCGTCGCGAGTACTTATACGATGATTGGAAATATTTATGTGAAACGAGATTACTTCGACAGCAATTCACACAAGAATGTGGACAAAAAGCTGTCGAGAGACATCCCAGATACGAAAATTCAATCACTCGAAAACGATGCACAGTTTAACAAACGACATTTAGCTCAAAGTTTGATTTATTTTCAGGATTTACTTCAGAAAAAGAATGGCAATAGATCAGCGCTTGACATTTACCATATTTTAGCCTACATCTCTCTGGAAAAGCGTGATTACTTTCAATCGTTGGCCTTTTTCGAAAACCTACTCGGCAAACAGATCGAAGTTTATAAATCAGAATACCAGCCGATAGCTCACACATACTCAATCATTGGAGACATTTACGATCAGATCGGTTTGATCAATCAACCAAAACGAACCCCCAAGAAATGAACACAGAGATCGTATTCATTGACTAATTTTCCTTGAAAATGTAATAATCAAAAGTTGAGTTATCAACATTTTCTTTTTTATTAAGATTAATTATGTCATTTCGTATCGATGAAAGTGTCAACTATATTATCAGTTCGATGTGAACAATATCTGCAGGAGACAAAATTGTTCTGCTCATAGAATGATCAAAACTGGGTCGGGCCATCTGCATCCCGATCGTTGATATCGGTGAGATTTTGGTCTGAACTTTTTGAATCTTGCATCGCTGATTTCGGTGCCGATAAAGTGGAAGATTTAGCAGAATTGTTCGATAATGGTACATCGACTTTCGAAGGTCCTACTAAAAAGATGAAACACGATCTATTGAAATGTCTTTCGTTTGATTTTTTACTTGCGGAGACTGTTTTAGAAGCATTCTCAACAGGGGTTACTTTTGGTGTCGAGGTACTGTTCTTTGACATTTTCGACGGATTAGGTGCAGTTGTAGACGCATAAATGTATGGATGCGGATCATCCTCTTCTATCGAATTGGTCTTAGTCGGATTTGTTTCTTTCATTTTGTAAGGCGATGCGACATTACCGTTGCGTCTGAAGTATTCATTGCCACTTTTGCTTCGTTTGATATCTAGTGTGATAGTTTTTGCATCTTTGTCGATAAGTAAAATTTTGAAGTACTCCGATAGTGATTTAAACGTTGGACGCTTGTCTGGGTCTAACACGAGACAAGTTTTGATGATACTATAATATTTATCTGAACATTGCTTCGGCTTTTCATGTACATAGCCAGCTCGTACTTTTGCTACCACATCTGCTGCATGCGCCAGTGTAGGATATGGATTACTAGCTTTACTCCAGATTTCGACTAGACAGATGCCAAGCGACCAAACGTCAGAACGGCTTGTGTAAGCTTCTCCAGCAAATATCTCAGGCGCCGTCCATCGATACGGTATTTTGCCAACGGATGTTTGGCTCATTGCAACTCGATAATAGGCGTCTTCCTCACTGATGCGTGCCATACCAAAATCAGCTATTTTTGCTCGATTTCCTTGTAGAAGAATGTTACGACAGGCTAAGTCGCAGTGAATAAATTTATTACGTTCTAAACATGACATACCCAGGCAGATCTGATGACAAAAATTGAGCAATATCTCGTCCGATGGCAATGTGGCCTGACGTTCTAACCACTTTTTCAAATCACCATCGACCATGAATTCTGTGACCATTAGTTTTTCATTTGTGACGGGATCGACAGCAATTCCAAGTAGTGAAACGAGATATTTGTTTCTTAGTCGTTTCATTGCACATATTTCCAAGGCAAATTCATCTGATACAACATCGTTTAATTTCAATCTCTTTATGGCAACATCGATTGTTTCGAATAGACCATTTCTTTTCCATTTGCCACCTAAAACTTCACCAAAGGCTCCCGAACCGATCTTATGTCCAATAGTTAAATGATTAAAATCGATTTGCCACAGTTCATCCTCATCCATGGATAGATGACGGTCAACCGGTTTCGATAATCGAATGAACTGATGCACTTTGGGACTGTTCACTAGTTGTTGAAATGTCTTAAAGAAACAATGCCGTAGGTTTCTTTCTTGTTCCAAATAGAAGCAGTTGTTTTGCTTATTGATACGTATCGAGTAATGTGATATCAGAGCATCTTTTGTTAGATGATGTTGATTCGCACTCAGAATGTACACGTTTTCATCTTGATCACTTCGGTAAATTAGAAAACTGTATCGAGTGTCACATTTGAGTAGAAAACATTCGATAACAGCCCGATTCGTGTTACCTAAACGTAAGGGTGTGTTGATATCTAATTCGACGTGCGAACGATCGATGTTCAGGACTCTTGCCGTTCTCAAATGCTTCAACCGAAGTATTGTTGGATTGTTTGGCACTTCACTAATGAATTCGAACTCATCGCCAACTTCACATCCATCATGATCAATGGTGTCCCGCGATCCTTTCAGCACATATATCGGACTTAGCAATGTTAACAGCTTTCCGGAACATACAGGTAGATCTTCATATCCTTCGTAACCCTCAATTGCACTGGGATTATTTACATCAGCCGATTTCCTTTTTACCGAATCATAACGTGGGTGCATATTGATATAATTAACCTTTATCTCATAAGTATCATCTTCGGGTAAAATTGAACTCAGTTGATCTTCCAATTGCTGCATATAGTGGGATTTTGTGAGGTAATCAGATATAGGTAAGATAATGACAGGATGGGTTTGGATGGATTTGTTTCTAGTTGATTTTTGCATGAAATTATTTATTCAACGTACCTCTGCAAATAATGGAAAATATAATATCGCCTGTAAAATAGCCGAATCAGCTATAGAGATATAAAACGAAATTCAATGTCGAGTTATCGATACAACGGAGGATATGCTGACCGAACTGTCGTTGGTATATTAGGGTTATTGGACAGTATACCTTTCGAAACCTGAGGCTAAAGAATTTTTGATATAGACCTTCTGAAAAATATGTTGCATCTATGTCAAAGTACACTCGCTCGTCTGCTAGGGATAAGCGTCGTCAATAAAAACAGTTACACAAGTCGTACAATACTCCAAGAATGTTGTTCCCATTCTGTAGATACTTCTATTTTCACGTAAAATATTTCTCTCAGAGACATGTTGAATCGAGATAACCAACGAATATAAAACTCTTATTTTTCGTTCTCCTTATCATTTTATAACGATGTGAGTCACTAAAAGATCTGACTTTCAAAAACGACGCTTGGAATTTTCTTTTCATATAACTCTACGAAAAAGAAATTCTTATCAGTCACATCGCCCGTATATAGATATTTATTTTCCACGGATAAAAGAATATTTTATTCTTCTATTGACATGGGTGCGCCAATTAGCCATCCACCCCTTCCAACTCCCAGTCCTGCCAACTCCGCAGAGAACGGAGCTTCATCCAATGCGCCAACCGCTTTTCCAACGCCACTAAGTGACCTGTATTTGGCATGTAAAGAAAATCGAGTAGAAGATGTTGAACGACTTCTGCAAACAGCAACGTTAGAGGACATTAATCGAATCGAACCACTTGGAAGTACGGCATTACATGCAGCTTCGTTCTATGGCCATGAGAAAATAGTCAAACTTTTGCTCGACCACGGCGCCCTACGCACAATTAAGAATGGATATCACTTAACACCGTTCCATGAGGCAAAAACGCCCGAAATTAGAAAGCTGTTCGAGCGCACACCACAGTCAAAAAGGTTCGGGAGTTTATCAACAGCAGTCGAATGGAATGTTATCGATCCAACTGCTGCTAAAAGTGTCAGTGAATACAAGGAAACTCGCAAGAACTGGTTCGATGATGTCTGTGCTGATGACGATGTGCTATATTTACAAGAAATCAAACAATACACTCACAAAAAATTTGCAGATGCCAAGAAGATTGATCAGGTTTATCATCTAATCGACCAAGCTATCGAACAAAAAGATCTTCGTCTAGCAGTGAAAATATATACGTTACAAACAGGTTTTTACACCGCGTTGAACATGGCGCTCGCATCCAACAATTCTGTACAATTCGCAGAAAACAATGCCGAAAGCCAAGATGAATATTTCAGTTATTGGCATGGCCCTGGTGGATATGCTGCTCTGATAGCTCATCATTCGATTTTCAAAGAATATTCATTCGTCGGCAAAGCCTATCGCGGTATGATAATGCTGGGTGCAGATATTAGTGAATACAAAGTTGGTTCATTGCTCGTTAACAAAGCATTTTTATCAACATCTACCGATCGGGACAGGGCCAAGGATTTCACCAAATCATCTGCAAGAATAAATGGAGATTGTAAAACTGTGGGAATATATCCAACAGTTTGTAAATATAGAATAAAGAATCCTGGCACTGCATTTGATATTTCCGAAATATCAGAATTTCCAGACGAAAAAGAAGTGTTGATTATGCCGCGTACAGCCTTTCGAGTTGTATCGATTAAAGAAAAACGATCATTTAATGCTCCACTGGAAATACAAATCGAATTACATGAATGTGCATTGGAAAAGTTTGTTGATATCTACGAATCAATTAATCCGGAAGATCCTTATTCTTAACATTATAAAAAGCGGGTTAAAGATGGCGCAACGAAATGTTAACCCTATATTGTCTGATTATACAGAAGTACGAGGATCATCTGTGCAATAGTCCCCTAAAACATGCTGTTTTTTAAGCAGAACTCAGTCGGAACTGAGTCATTATCGATCTTTCGACGCCTTCAAAGCTCACTCCATAAAACAACTGATTCTTTCGCGTTTTTTCCTTCATTTTGAATAAAACAAGTTTGTTTTTGTTGACGCAAATGTAAAAAAATACGTTCCCCAGATCGATGCTGGGTAACAAATGATGAGGACCACACAATCCATCTATCAAGTAGTTCTGCAGTTCGAATTGTGAAACAACACGTGAAATCGTTGCTCTGATAGTTCGCAATATTACGCTAATGTCATTGACGATCATCAATTCGACGACAGACCAAAAGAAAAGAAAAAACACGTAGCCCAAAAATGACTATTCTTAATTCACATGCTGTGTTTCTCACAACCAAATCAGACACGTAATATATGACATACTCCCATTAAGAATACCAATCTTGAAAATGCCTCAATCAAAAACGATCAAACCGAACGAAGAACACGTTTGTTTCTTTTTTAATTTCAAACTTGGCCATTTTATTGTTTTTTAGGAAAACAGCCATGCAAATGCACGGATGAAGGATTCGGCAAACACTTTTGCAAAACCTTAATGGTGATAATCAACCTTACAAATGTGTGTATTGTCTGCATACATATTTATATTGTATAGCTTCTTATTGGGAATGACGAGGCCACCAGCAAACTGTAAGGTGATATTATTATGAACTATGATATCGAGCGTATACAAAAATTGTTACTAACATCTGAATGTGATCGGGATTACCTGATATTCTATATCAACGGGTGGTCGCGTCAATTAAAAACCGTATTTAAACTCTCAAGGGTTTCAAGAAACAAACAGAAATGCAAGGTACAATGAATCTCACGGAAGAAATGGCAAATGACCTTCGAAAAATACTGCTACAGTGACAAAAAAATGACGAATGCAAGTATTGTTACAGTTAAAAGAGCTTATGAAGAGGCCATATCATCGTCTGCTACAGACAATAAAGATATTCGTCGGAAATAACTACGTATTTGTGAATAATTATCTATGGAAATAGCAGATACGGAATTTTGTAGTTTCCGTTCAAAAACAATCACGAAAATAGAAGGATGGCTCGACAATCAAGTCAATGCAGAGCAATTTCGACCTGAATTCTTCGAATTGTTGAAAGAAATTGAAAAATATCTAAATAATTGTTATTCAAGGAACCCGACGTTGCCAAAAACACAGATTAGAGTGACCGACTACACAAGTACAGGCAAAAGTTCGTTGGTAAATCGTCCCATTGGTGTACAATATTTGAATGATGATGATGGTGCAGCACCAGTACGTACTATTAAAAGTACGCATTGTCCTATGCAATTCGATCGAAGAGAGCCTTTTATTTCATCGACTCCAGGCATAGAAATACCCGTTACACTTGTCAACACTCATGTTTTCGATAAAGATCGAGCAATAGTCAACGATAGAGTGAAAGCAGGAAATTATCTAGATGATATTTGAAAAAGTTTTGTGAAATGGTTGGTAAATGTTATGGGGAAAGTCCTTCAGAAGAGCGCAGTCAATAGATCATGAATATATCACACACAAAAAAAATAGAGATGAGAATGAATGCACATCGGTACGTGCATTTTCAACTGCAAATGATTACGAGCCCAGCAAGTACAGGGGCGGGAATGCTATTAAAATCGAATATATTCGATTATAATGAGTTAATTATCGAACTGACTGATTTAGTAATTAATGCTTCTTGTGTTCGAATCGCTGCATTGACTTCTAAAGCTCGTAGTATCAAAAGCGAATGCGCTTTGCAAGAATCTACTGTATTCGGTGTCACGACTCTTTGGACAAGTACAGTGTTTGGCCAGCAAATGAATGTGGCGAACACATTTTCTGTTACCTCAATTGACTTTGTGACGATCTTATCATCGTTCTCGAAGCCTTCATTGATTCAACCATTGAATGAGAAACGATTCTAAGTTCATTTATTATCCAATAAAAATCAAGAGTAAAACTGCCATTTTTCGTATTAAACTAAAATTTTTTGTAAGGTAGAAACTTTCCCGACATGTTCACATTGACTCTTGGTGCTTCTTTGTTCGTTTCATCCTTATCAATTTTAATTGTAAAATCAACTGCTGACATAATTCCATCACCAAATTTTTCATGAATCACTTCTTTCATCGGCACGCCGTAAACAGCAAGAATCTCATGAAAACGATACAGGAGTGGATCAGTCGGTGGAAATGTTTTGATTAACGTTCCTTTTGATGGTGGATGAGTTAAGTCAAATATATCTTGAGATGTTAGATTAATTCCAAGAGTGTTAACCAACTTTTTACATTCGTCGTCAGTCATACTTGCTTGTCCGTAGAACAATGCAGCAGTCCAAACTTCATCACGTCCAAGTTTCTTGCCAATATCGGCAAAGGATAAACATTTCTCGCGTTTTACCCTCAATAGTTGTTGTGTTAGTTTAGAAATATTCATTACTAGTGTGGTGATCTAAAAATAGACATTTTCTTTCTTCATTTATTCTTAACATTAAGAAACAAGTTTGTGAAAAGTTGACGACAAGTACCATTTTACGATAAAATGTTCGGAAAAATCTTTTTCACCGACGAACGTACTCTGAACTATGCCTGTGATATGCACAGCTTAGATCAGGAATTCTTTTTCTTTTCTTCTCCTACTGTGTACAAGCGGCGATCAAATGACAAATGTTATCTTCGTCATGTATGTATAAGAGAAGACAAACACAAAATTCTCTTATGATCTACGTTCGAACTCCCAACCAATAGGATATAAACTGCACACTTAACAATCATTTGTACTATAAGTGAGTTAAACTGTAAGAGAATTACATAAACGAGTGTAAACATGTAATAGAGGAGATGGTTTATAAAGAGAACATACACACGCCGTTAAAATGATAACAAAAAAGTAATAAGCATAAAAGAACGCTTAAAAATATAATGATGCAGCCTGTTCGGTTTATTGTGATCAACAAAGATTTGTTGACGTGCTGCTAATAGTCTGAAGTTGAGCATTAAATGACAGACGAAATGAGACTTTTCCTGCTGTTGTTACGTATATCATCTATGAATTGGATACTTCTGGGAACCAATTTTGAGACAATCCGATGTTGAAATATGCAATCTTTGTTTTGAAGAAGTATGATTAATTTGTGATTGTCATTTGAAATAATAATATTAACTCTTGCTCTTATTCAAATTACGCGAGAGAATCGGATCATCACTGATATTATGTGAATAGATCGTTTTTCAGGAAGATTTCTATACATATCGTTGTAATACATGCCGCTATACCTTTTTTTGAACAATGACGTCGGATCTATTATTGTAATTAATATCAGTCACTGTTAGTTCCTATCCCGCCAAAGGTGTTGTATGTGTTATTTGATGAGTAAAAATGTCATTTTCCGTGTGAGCGAAATAGTTTTTCGAGTATTAAAAGTTATTTTGCCAGTGTTATAGAAAATAGTCATCTTCGCGGGCCTTTTACCAATAATATTACCTGTTGCCAAAAATGATATCCAGTCCTTATAGTGAATGTGGATTTTGTCATTGGAAAATTTGCCACTGTCAAGATTTTGGAATATGCTTAAACATGGATCAGTACCGTTTATAGTAAGCCCTATGGCAGATATGTTGGCACATAATCTTAGTTAGTAACAAGTGTGAAATACAAAGCATTGTCATACAGTAGAAAATCAAAATTTTCTCTTGTTTATTTATACTTTTTTTTACAGATGATGATGTGAAAGAAGCAAAATTGTTCGTAAAATGTAAAAATAACGTAAAAAATCATTGAAATACTTCAGAAAAACCACTACTCGATATAGTTGCCATAGTTCCTCCTTCCGTTGTCGCTGGTGTTGACTCAATTGTTTCTTTTGCTGTTGACGCAGTTTCTTGCTCTGTTGTCACTATTGTTGACGCAGTTGCTTTCTCTTCTGCTGTTTCTGTCACTGCTGATACACTTATTTGTTCTGCTGTTGATGTAATCACCTCCTCTCGTATTGTTGCGACTGAGCTGTTGATAGCAGTTGATACAGGTGTAGTAAGTGGCTCTTTTGCTTTGGCTTTTCTAGTGAGAACAACGGCTAATGTAATAGCAACGATCACCAGGATACTGACAATAACGGCAAGAATTACGAGAAGTCTCTTCGTTCCGATAAATGCACACCTAAAAAAAATGAAGTTCTTGTTATTCTGTTAATGAACAATGCAGGTAGTACAATCGTGCTCGTAAGCCATTGGATTCTGTCTGAGCAGTTTCGTTGGCAAGCCGGAGCTAAAAAGCACAAGTAAAAATACTAGCCAAACACAGTTACAAAAAAAAACCATACACTATTTTTATTGTTCATCATCAAATGAAATGATTAAAATAACGCTCAGTTATATAGTGTTCCTCAATGAATAAAGCGTGCACATATGGATTAAGATAAATTTGTTTCATGTTTGATAAGCAAAATGTTATACTACTAATCGTTAATTTTAATAAATATATATCTAAGAGTTATAAACGCATTTGTAGTTAGTTCTTCAACTAGAAAGACCTGACACATTTATTAGACTTTACAATTTGCGTCATAGCAACGATAAGAGATAAGACTCCATGGCATCAAAATTCCAGCGTTTATCATGTCGTGGCGGATGTGTATTATTATCCAATATAAATGCATGATATCGACTTAATTTTACCATATTGCGAGTATCAATCAACAAATATATAGTTGTGCGTCCTGTCTCACCAAGGTGGAAAGAAAACAAGGCTTCTGTGCAATATTTAGTCATTTTAATATGTGAAAATAAAGAACAAGATACGTATTATGCTAATGGATTACATACGTACTGGCTAGTATCTTTATCTCTGCGGATTCACTTTATTTTAGCTTGACATCTCCGACGAGTTTTTTGTACTTCATTCTTCTCGATTGATTGCCGCGGAGCACGAAATAGCAGTATCGCAGATGTCCCCAACAGCGGCAAGAAACTGAGAAGAGAGCAGTTATTCACTTGTTTTTTGTGTCCTGTTCTTTAGCATAAAGACGAGCCGAAAGTGAGTCGATAGAAGAACCTCATGCGTTGCACAGGAGAGAGTAAGTACGATTTTCAAATGTATCATATGTGTTATCACTCCCTGGATACACTCGATGGTTATCGATGTCTCAAAGAATACAAAAGAAGCACGTGTTTACAATTTCTGTTCTGTGTCTATTGCTGTGAGAAGCTTTGCGATTTGCAAACAAACGTAATTGCACAACATCAAACATTGAAACATTTATATTGCAGTTCGAAAAAGCAGGTAGTTAGCCGGCCGGCTCCGGAGTAAAAATACTTTAAAAAGTATAAAATTCCAGCTTCATTGTGAACGTAATTTCCTTTGAAGTATTGAAAAATACGAAAAAAAGTATAAAACCTCTGCACCGACATTGGTAACATACATGTCCGAGTGCAAAAAGCAAAAAAAAGCAGAAAAGGCCTCCGGCCTTTTTGTTATACTTTTTCGTCTGTAGCAATTACACGAATGTTTATTGAGAGTATGAAAAAAAAAGAATATTTTTTGAACTATTATTTCAAATAAATACACAAGGTAAAAGCAGATCATTAAATGTATCTATAATCATAAGCATACGATAGTTTCGTCATTGATGTCTTCAATTCTCTGCAAAAAAAACGTCTTGTACATGAAGAAGAATATGTATTTTTAGCTTACATGTAATGGCTGATGCATTCGTTTGGATTGTCTTTTTGATTTACGTTCACCGATTGTATTGTGAGCTGTTTTATTGTAATGATTGTCCACGGGGAAGAACGATGTATTAGGAGTTGATGTCATAATTTTTATTTGGCCATAGATGTTTTTCATTGTATGCAAAAGTGAGAAATCCAATGATTGATCATTTGTACTTGTCGGAGGACAAACTGGCAGCTCAACATTAGCTTTTGGTGGTGATAATTGTAATGCAGCTGATGATGTTGATGGTTGAAGTGGTGGCGGTGGTCGTGGTTTGACACGAGCTGGTGTTGTTTCTACATGATGTGTTCCTTTACTCAATAGTCTTCTTGCTACATTAGAGGCTGGTGTTTTTATTGCACGTCGTGCTGTATTTGTAATGGCTGTACCCAGTACGAATGGCTCCTTAGCTACTGTTCGACGAGGCTATGAAACATCATGACAAATCCAATCAAAGGTAAATCGTTTTCTTTTCAACATACCGTTATTACAGGTGTTCGAGTTCGAACCGGTGTAAGACCCAATAAGCGTGTTGCAGCTGGTGTTCTTCCAGGTGTATTGATTGGTATTGAAACTGCTGGAATTTGCTGATGGGCTTCATCAAACTTTTGTCGTATTGGCACGTTGTCATACAAAAACGTTCGATCGTCGAATTCAGTTAGAGTACTCAAGAATTCTTGCTCAACTATCGGTAATTCCCGATGGAACTTTTTACGCTGTCGTGCTTCCATCTCAGCATTATAACCGCGAATATGAAATCGTCCTGGATCAGTTGATGCTTTCTAAAATCATTTTCTCCATGTAATTTAAACGAAAAGAGATGGCGAATTGAACAAACCGTAAATGTGACAAAATCATTCCAGAAAGAAAGCCATTTGTGATATGCATCAAGAACTTGTTTACGATTTTCGTACAGTTCAGATACACGTTCGTATTCCGTATCGTAAGCATCAAGTAACTCTGGAGATAAAGTTTCTATCAAAAGAATCTAATACTATGTAAAATTCCAAACGAAATGTCATTCGTACCGAAATCCAGTTTTTCCACAGTCGCTCGTTCTTCGATGTTTAAATGCGCTTTCTCCAATAGATCAACAATCTGTTGCCGAATCGATTGACAATATTCTTTGCCATTTTTCATGCGTTCACTTCGGCAACATTCGATTTCGTGCTCGAGCTAAATAAAAAAATCATTGTTTCGATTCCAACACTTTAAAGTTTTCATCTGACTTGTTTGATCACAAATGCATTTATATGTTCGCATCCGGTTTTGTACGCCAAGCAATAATCTTTATTCGGATCTTTCTTCAAACGTCGATAGAGATGTCCGAGTTGATTATGTAGTGCGGAAAAGCGAGCTTTTTGATTTTCAATGCGATGTTCTAACTGAGATTATTATCAAACAATGATTTCAGTCACATTTCTCAACGAAAACTCACTTTACGCATCGTCATTTCGATTTCATTGAGATCATCTGCAGTTAAACAATCGTCATACTGTTGTAGAAGAAGATGTTCAACAGTTGATGACGATGGCGTCCATTCTAACAGCTCCGAATACTCTTTCAGTCTAACGTAATATGTTGAAACTTGAGCTAAGCGTGATTCCTAGAAAGGTGAATTTTGAAAACAGATGACACATGAGATGATCATTTCGAACTTTTAGCTCGCTGAGCATTTTTACATGTTCCTGTAAATTTTGATTGATCTGTACAAGTGAAAGAGGAATGTCTACATAGAAATGATTTCTAAAGAGATCAACGAACAACAAAAAACGAACTTTTATCGGGCTCAATAGGAGTTGTGTGAAGTAATGTACAGAGATGCTTTTGTTTAATTTCAAGTTCAGTTCGTTGACGAATCAGTTGATCTTCATGCATTAATAATTCATGCATTTTTCTATCAAGATAAATTTCTTGCTCTTTTAATTTCAATCCTTCAAACGACGATGTCTAAATTGATAATGAGCAAGAGTTCTGAACTCATTTTTATAGGACATACTTCAATGGAAGACTCAAGTCCAGTTCGGTGAAGAAGATCTTCGTAATCATCAAGCGATTGTCTAAGAAGTTGCTGACGTTTATTTAATTGTTCTTTGTAAAGAAAGAGTTTGTCGGCAAGTAGTTTCTAAATGGAACAAATTTTTAAAAAAAAGAAGTTTTCAATTGTGAATCATACCCGAGTGTATTCTTCCACTTTAGTAGCACGGGACGTCCATTGATGATCATTAAAGCCGAATGCCGACCATAGACGATGCCACTCAGTGCACGTTGTTGGACCATCAAGCACATTCAATTTATCACTGTGAAAGTTAAACAATTGCAGAAAATCATTCGGAATGATCGATTACATACACTGGAAGCGGTAAATCTGGATAGATCGATGTTTTCTTTGATTGAAGCATGTTCATATGAACAAAACCAATGAAAATATCAAAATTATCCGGTACAGTTCTTTGTTCTAATTTACCAACGATATTTACTAAAACTTTCTGCACATGGTGACATCTATGTCGCTGAGATGTCGACGATTTTTTAGTTTAATCTTGGACAATATCAGTCTTGTTAGAATAGGTAAATATTTTGAGATCAGCGTTGTCTTTCACGGAAATAGTCACCGATTGATTACGAGAGAGTATAATATAATGCGCTTTCGCTAGCCGTGCCGTTTGTTTGTTAGGGTTTATATATGCAAAGGTGAGCAAAAAGAAAACAATTCAACGACAACCTTCACTTACTGAAAAATACGCATGTGAGTTATTATTTTACTCTTTGTAACTCAGACGTTTTACATGAGAGTATAAACATCGATCAACAGTATTTCTACTTCCTACCGTTCTCCAAGTTGAAGACTTTTACTCACATTATCTGAATATTCATATTGTAAAATTAGCTTCTCATCTGCAAAATCATTTATTTCTGTTGTAGAAATGGCATCAGCTACGACAGACAGTTCTTTTGCTTCTCAAGGACAAACAGGTATTAAAGATAAGGAAATTTTCAATTGAAGAATGAGAAGAATCTTTAACAAAATATTCGCTTAGAAAAAGCTTGGCTTCATAAACAACATAATACAGATGGAACAATAATGAAACCTGATCAATTAGAGAAATTACTCGAAAATCCTCCGAAAAGCTTTGACATCAGTGTCTTCGATCGTATTCACGGATCAATGGTTGGCATGGCCTTGGGTGATGCTCTCGGTGCTCACGTCGAATTTCGTCCTCACGAATATCTAGTAGAACATCCCGTAACTGACCTACAAGGTGGTGGTACTTGGGGACTTTCTAAAGGGCAGGTACGATTTGATAAGTTGTTTAAGAATCTGTGAAATGTGATTTGTCATTTATATATCAGTTCACCGATGATACTTCCATGGCGCTTTGTCTTGCAAATTCTCTGATAGTTCGGCAAGATTACGATCCGTATGATCAATTAGTTCGATACAAATGGTGGTTTCGGGAGGGTTACATGTCTTCCACAGGGAAGTGTTTTGATATTGGCTCAGCAACAAAACATTCTCTATTAGAATTTGAAAGACGCCAAAGGAACTTTGCCGAAAAATATCACATTTCTTTCGAAGATGTTGACTTTCAATCGGATCTCGATATTCTTGATCAATTCAAAGTCAAATGTAGTGAAGAAGGTGTAGCTGGAAACGGAGCTCTGATGCGGCTGGCTCCAGTGCCACTATTCTTCTATAAGCATCCGATTTATGCTGTTGAATACTCTGGACACAGTGGAGAAATTACACATGGGGATCAGAAAGCATACGACGCATGTCGTTATTATGGTGCTTTGATCGTTGCAGCTGTCCGCGGTGCGAATAAGAAACAACTGCTTTCAGAGAATTTCTGCGAGGAACATAAAGAATGGTTTGGAAATAAACCGTTGCATGCAGATGTTCTACGTGTTGCAAGTGGATCATACAAGAAAGAGCGAGGCTACGACGCAGGAATTCGAGGAAAAGGGTATATTGTTGCTGCGTTGGAAGCCGCATTGTGGGCATTTTGGTCCGATAAAGACTCGTTTGAAACAGGTGTGCTTGCAGCTGTTAATCTAGGCGACGATACCGATACAACAGCAGCGATCTATGGGCAATTGGCAGGAGCTTATTACGGTTACAAGAAACTTCCTTCACATTGGGTGGAACAAGTTTATGCAAATCAGTTTATCGCCTGTTTAAGCAAATGGCTTACATACGAAGGTCAACGATGGTCACCAAAGAACTTGGCACCGGCGACCAATCCATCTTTATTCGATCCTCAAGATGATGCCCGGCCACGACGTCGTTCTTTCGTTCAGGACAGCTTAGCTTCGAACATATCTGATGAAGGTCCTCGACCTCGTGGTAAAACCGTTGTGGAAAACAGTTCAACTTTGGACGTACCTGACGAGCGTCCTCGACTTCGTGGTAAGACTGTTGTGGAAAACAGTTCGACTGTAAAACGTCCGACTGTACATGAACCACCCAGTATCTACCGTCCGAAATCATCAGACTTAAAAAATCTTGAACTTCAACCGCAGCGTAAGCGGATCGTTCCTTCAATAAATATTTCTTATTTCATTCCTTCCAGGACTTTATTTCCATGATCGTCTCAATTCTGTTGCGGATGTATGCGAATGGGTCAAAGGACTCGGCGATGAATATGTAACATATGCCAAACTCTTCAAATACTACGGCGTCGATGGTTATTGGTTGCTCAATTGCATAGATGATAAAGTACTTTCAGGATATGGTATTCAGAATAAAGGGCATCAACGGGGAATTCTCGATGGTATCGAAAAATTACGTGATAAATGTCCGATAAAGTACTCTACACTACACAAAACTGCTACATAGACACAACTGCTCACACATTTTACTCAAAAACGAATGAGAATAGTTTATGTTCCTTTGTTTACAGCTCGATGAATAAAACTACCTTTGCTCCCGCGCTCTTCTTTATTACATGCATAGAAAGACGAGTGTGAACATGTATCACAACTACGTAAGTGAAAGAAAAACAGAGTTTTACATTGGTAGAAAAGAAAACACAGCACTAAATTGGATAGATAAAAGAAAAAAAGGAGCCAATGTTTGAGCTATTATCATTTCAACGCACACACACACACACATACGCAAATTAATCAACTGTTTTAGCGATACGGCCTAATTCACTATCTAAATTAAACAAGCATATTCTTTATATAGAGCAATAACAGAAAATAAGCCTAACCATAGAGATTAGGTGATGCGTTTTCATTAGTTTCGGATGACGATGGAGTAACTAAAAGACATACTTCAGTAGGAGATTCGGAAAACAGAGGAAATACCTACCAGTCGACAGAATGGATGTTTCATTCTTAAATGAAGACTTTGTCAAGTTTTTGATCGTTGCCTGTAAGTCCGACCGTTCTTGTTGTAAAGCTCGACATAGTCGATCGAGTTTATCGAGTTTAATATCTGCTTGTCGTTTTTCTTTTTCCAATAATTTCATCTAGAAAAATTCGAATGTATTATAAAAGAGATGTTTCTCTCATACGTCATCATTGGCTTTCCGTTGATTAGCTTCCGCCGCTTCCCATCGTTGCCGAAATTCATTTCTTTCTTTTTCTAATCTTTTGATTTTCTCCTGCATTTTCTGGATTTGAGTATCACACGACGTGACCATTTGATTGCTCTGTTCGATAGCATTTTGAAATTCTTGATAACGTTCTGCATAGACAGTCAATTGCGAACGAAGACTAAGCTCCGAAGCAGCCAATTCCTGACATTTTCTGTACAATAACAATTGCTCGGATTCACTCTGCAAATCAATTGAACGAGAACTGCGTGAGAAAAGACGAAACATTCGTAACTTACGCCTTGTCGTTCTTGTTTGATCAAGTCCGTTCGTTCAGCGAGTACGACTCGACTTTGTTCAAGAGCTGTTTCAGCTAGACGTAACTCTGCTTCTTTGTTCTTCAATGCTTCTTGGATTTCCTATGAGCAAAGATTCGGAGTGTTCAACAATGAAGAGAAGCAAGTTTACCTTTTCACGAAGTTCATAATCTTTAATGACCGAGGCTAATTGTTCCGATAATTGAGCGTTTTGATCACGCAATGACGTCGATTTTTCGCTATAATTTGATAATTGCGATGCAATTTCATCGATGGTTGTCTAAATCATCCAATGCAATCGAACGAAACGAATCAGTAAGGACCTACTTGAAATTTCGTTGCTAATTCCCGACGTTTAGTTTCATCATCTTGTTGCCGTTGGATATTTTCGTCCTGAAAGTAAGAGCTTCAATTCAATTCCATTCCAATGACAAAACGTCCTCCTACTCGAATCTGTTGATTATGTTGATGAAGTTCTCGACATAAACTTTCCAATTTGCTCTTCGAAGCGGATATTCTTCCATTTTCCATCAAGACTTGGTCTCTTTCGCGCATAAGGACGACGGATTTCTTTTCAAAATCATGAATTTTGCCCTGAATCGAACGGTTTTGCTCTTGTAGTTCAGCTAATTTGGTTGCTAATGTTGAAAGATTCTTTTGTGGATCTTCATCAGTCAGAGTTTTGAGTAAATTTTCTAAAGTCGAAGAAACTCTTACAAAGGAAAGTAAGAATCAGCAAACATACTAGCAGTTTTGTTGATATTTCGACGTGCTTCTGATTCATTAGTTGCATTTGATGAACTTTTCCCATTGGTTTGTTTGTTTTCTTTGGAATTTGCTGCTGAAATTTATCAAAGTCGAACGAAATATTCAGTCAATCGAAGAACACATACCGAGCGTTTCAAGTTTCTTTACAAGCTTCGCACCAATTGCTGTTTGTCCAGCTGTCCGAGTTGTCGTTGACGGAGTTTCATCTGTTTCTTGTGTTGTAACTTGATTCTCCTCTGACAATTTGTCCGTATTGGCTTCAGGTTCGATCGTTGATGCCATTTTTCAATAAATAATATCTGAAATTAGCCGAAGAAGTCATCGGTGAGATTCTTCCCAAAATAGAACGGAAGAAGAAAAGGAAAAAGTCATGGTTACATTTATCTGTCTTCTTTCTCGCCTTTTTTTTTCTTCTTTTCTTGCTATTTTATTCGATACTTAAACCGTATCCAATATCCATTCAGTGTTTATCAAACAAAATCGACGATTGTACAACATTGTTTATTTAGATGGATGATTGAGAATGACGATTTTTTCAAAATCACTAAACGGTAATTTTTTTCTGTACAGATTTTTTTTGATCTTTCCATGGTAATCACACATCGTATCGCGAGAATTAGACACGCATATATTGTATACGAGTGACCTCTATCGCGGATTCGGTTAAATCGTAAACGATGCTGTACAGCGAGTACTACAATAGCATTTCAGTCGAGAAATCGTTCTCAGTCACCTTATCTGACCAGGATTTCGAATCTATTGATGTTCAGGACCTAACGATCGATTACAACCGCGAAAAGTTACACTAGGTTCAATAAAAACGATAAATCATAAGTCGAAAGCTATGCGAGACAAGAAAAACTTTATTGAAATAATATGACATTCTACAGATAAGATATCAATAGATGAGAAAACAATGAGATTATTAGTATATGACAAATAGCTATCATGAACTACAAAGTGAAAACGATCAATTAATTATGTACAACAGAAGATCGGCATATAGAGGAATGAACGGATTTATTTATTTACAGGTGATGCGGCCGGTTTTTTCGCTGCTTTTTGTTTCTCAAAACGATTTTCCATTTCGATTAAAACTTGCGGAGAGTAGCGAACGACCAATTTGACACTTCCTTGTGCTTGTTTCAGCAACTCGACCGCTTTTTCATGATATTCGTTTTCCACTGAGACACCATTGACAGATAATAGTTGGTCACCTTTTTTCAAACCACCATGTTTCCACGCAACACTATTTGGAATTATACGCGAAATGTAAACCGGAGAATTCTGTTCTCGTCCACCCATGACGTTAAAGCCCAGTCCTTCAGTTGTTTTAGGTAGTTCAACGACTCGAGGATGAGCATGACCTTCACTAGCAGCAAACGCAGCAACCTAGATCAATTGAAACTTCGTTGATGTGAAAAGAGAATTTTCTTTCCATTACTTACCGTGGCTTTTGCCGTTGCATTCGCTCGAACTTCTGGTGAACCCGTGATTTCGACAGTTTCATAGAGCTTTTCGTAAACTTCTAAGACAGCGTGAAAAAAGTCACTTTGTAAAATTCGTTGTAGTTCTGTTAACTTCGCTTCGGGAATTTCGCTTGTCGTACGGAGACGATCAAGTAACACAATAGCTCGTTCGACATCTTTTTCTAAATTTAACGGCGAATCTCCTGTAATAACTGACATGATCTAAAACAAAAACAAAAGGTCAGACAATGTTTTAAAAACACACACAACAAGTTTATCCAAATAAAATCAAGAAAATAATCGTTACAATATTGAATGCAATCAATGGAACTAGAAAGAAAACAATTCGAAAGTTTTCATAACATAAACGAAAATTCCTTTACTTCTCATAACAGTCCGAACCGACCGGATCAATGTTAACAATTGTTGCTTAGCTCCACCCGTGTTTTGATGTTCCATACCATAGCCACCAGCACCTGGATAGTTTTGATTATTCGCATTACCACTTACTAAGCACATAGATTTCTTCTAAAGATAATTGCAGAAAATAAAGGCTTACTTCGAGAAAGAAATCGTTGTTCGTTTAAGATGGCCACTGCATTGACGCAGAGGAGAGCAGCTTCGATAAGACTGTACAACGAAAATCCCATTGTCGATTTTTTTAAAAAGATCTGAAAAATAAATAAATGCAAAATATTGCAATAAGAATATTGAGAACTGATCATAGATTTAAAAAAAAAACACAAAAAACATGGAATGTTCAATGTTTCTAATTACTGGCTTCGGGCTTTGGACGTAAGAGATTACGAATCAAAGCTTCATATTTACTCAAATCAAAGTTTCCACGATCATTCGCAAGGAAACTTCGATGTTGTAACTGTAATAAATTAATATAGTCCTGCTCACTATACTGAGGTCCATGTTCTTCAATTGAATTAAGAATTTCTTCGGGTTTGGTTGTGTACAATAACTCGTAATAGTGATGTGCACGCATCAGTTCCGCATCTCCGACTGTTCGAGTTTGTGCCAAAGTTTGCTCAAGGGTGAATATATTGCGACACATTTTGGTGATACCTGATTCGCTGATACGATGAAAACGTGGTGCTGACCGAATCATTATTGTGGCTAAAACAAGGCCAATGCCTTGGAGAATGAATGTGAACTTTTTTTCGGTTAATGATGATCGCAGGGTTTCTTGTAGGCGTGTTAAATCACGATTCAGAGTTATAATGTTCTCATCGGGATCAGAATCGACTGCATAGGAGTACATCAGTGAATTGTTGAACAGTAACGATGAATGATAGAAGCAATGAACACGAACTTCGAGGAATAGAACAAGTAGAATGTCGTAGGAGAGAGTGAAAATCGTTTTCATTGCACTTGACAACATTTCTAAGTTTGCACGAGAAAGTTTCAATTGGTCATACTTGGAAAAAGTCTGTTTGACCGATCGCGATGGAAAAGCAGAGGTGACTAAAATATAAGAACTATCAATAATGATCTCTTCCTAGGAAATTAACCTGCTTCTACCTGTAGTCTGTGTTAACGCATCTAAATGTTTTGGATCGATTAGACATCTATCTAAGATATCGAAGTAGTGTAACAAATTAACATATAACCAATCTAGACTCTCATGAATAGTTGCTAAGATCATGATGTGTTTATAATTCGTACAAATATCATCTGGATTCATTTCCTTTGGACTAAGATTGATGAATAGCGTTTCAGTTTCTTTTGTTTGGCGGAATCGGATATTGTCCACGTTCTCACGTTCTTCATCAATTTTGAACTGTTGTTGTCTAGTCGTTCGAATAAATGTATCAAATGCGGGTAATGTTCGTAAATGTCGATTAATATCCGGATCTTTAACCCATTCATTCGAATAGATTGAAATGCCCGTTGAATCTACTTTTTCGACAATGGAAAGGAATGTTTTATTACAAGATTCACGGTGATTGAAAAGTAAGTCAGCAATTGCTTGACAAAAGTCATCAGCGTACGTCGGAAGACATTTCACTAATGCACATAATTCTTCACAAGATTTGAAGATTAAATAAGATGTTTGAAGAATTGGTGTAGGTAATTGCAGCTGTTTTTGTAAAACTAATGGAATTAATTCGACAAGACGATTTTGATCAGCAATTGTCGAAGAAGTTGAAGACAATTGAGCAGATTCACGTATATCTTTAATAACACGACCAATGAAACAATCACGAATGAAATCAGTTAATTTTCTAAGAGGAAAAACTTTTCTTAGCGATATTTAAGTCTGAATGAAACTCACCGATCGAGTGTACGTTTAGTTGGATGCAACTTGTAATTCATATCGATGTCTTCAATGATGCGTTGAAGAACATCGTGCACAACGGTAACATTGCGATAGTTCGGTTTACAGACATATTGTTTGTAAGCAATGGTAGGCGTTTTGGTTGTCGAAGATTTCTGTTCGATAACGAAACGATTTTGTTCTTGTAAGTACGAGATCATTGAATTAAATTGCGCCGATTGAGAAAAAGCAAAGATACGTGGAATTTGCTGAGGACGTGCCGGTGCTTTTTTTGTTAAGTATTGAGAAAAATCAATCAACGACGGACGATCGACGTATTCAGTTGCGTCCGATATCGACGATGAATTCGTTGTTAACGTATTCATTGTATTATGATAGTCAATATATTCATTCAAAACATCGCTGAGAACTTGTTGTAAAGTTTCCCAGAGAAGTTCGATAGAGAAAATAAAAGGAATTTCAAATGGGACTGCTGATGGCTTTTGACCTAAAGAGAGATCAGTTAAGTGATTGAAAGAGGCAAGAGAGAACTACGAACCACGCTGTTGACATGACTTCAAATATTCGTCTTGTTGGATTTGAACGGGCGATTGGTGTTCTTGGATTTGTTTCAACGTACTTAATAGATGTTCGAATGTTTTAATCACAAGTTTGAATTGCTCGTAGCAAGTTTCTAATAAATCTCGAAGACAATCGGGATTATTCACTGTTAGATTTTGATTGGAATTGTTATTTGACATGTAGTTCGAATCGATTATATGTTGAGTCGCTCGTAACACACATCGATAGAATTGCTCGGGTAATTGTTTTTGTATGAAATCAAGTGTTTCGTTAAGGTTCGAAAGAACTGATAATGATTGCAATAGAACATCAAGGTATAAATCTGGCGCTTGTTGACGAATGTCGACTAGCATATATTTATCCGGTATGATAGCTAGCGAATGAGATTCGAGCTTGAGTTTTCCTTCTTCGAATTCTTGATCGAGTTGCTTTCGTAGAAGGCGATTTTCTCTGAGACGTTTCAATGTATTTTGATCTGTTTTACTTGCTGTTGCCGATAAGGTTTTATTTCCAAGGATATCTCGACAAGGTTTATCGAATAACTGATCGATCAATTGAAAACGTAATTGATCTTCTAATGTTACACGTTCTTCTTTTATTCGGATATCAGTGTCAACCAAGCCATTAATTAAACGTAATTCTTGACATTCCCGTGCGCGAATCAGCAGGAGTGAAGCATGAATATATAATTGTTTACTTAGATAAAACTGTAGGCGCGATGGAACAGACTTTAATTCGCTTAAATTATCATAAATTTGAACGAGAGCATTTTGTTCTGACGATAATATCCATAGCTTGCGTATATCTTGCCGTTTTAATAGTAGTAAGTTTTTACACTCACGTAAACGTTCACGAACATTTTCCACTCGAAGTTTCGATTGTTCAATTGAAGTGTAAATATCCGAATAATTGACCATTAATTCTGTCAGATCTGTTGATGATGTTTGTATGCAACGTTCGATATTTTTATTCGAACGTTGAAAGCGTTCTTTAACAAAACGACGTTGTTGTTCGTGAGCCTGACGAAAGATAACGCGTGTCAAAAACAGAATGGTAAAGAATTCAACAACAAAAAATGACATACTTCAACATTGGTGTTATAACTTAAATCTCGAAGTATTTTCATAAGAATAAATGTCGTCGATTGACGTTCCATGTTAACAATAAAACTCTATCCAAATAAAACAGATCTTTTACCTAAATTAAATCAAATCAACCGTATCACGATCAACTCATTCATTCTTCTTTCTCTTCAACGCTTTCGATCCAATCAAAGACATTGAATTGACCTCCAAAAATAAATATAAAAAATGACTCGCAATACTAGCGTCATCTATGCACAAGACAGAATTTTCTAATGATCGTAAACGAAGCGCGTTCGAGACGTTTATGACTAGCAAAAATAAAGTACGAAAGGAGTGTTGAATTAGAGAAGAAAAAGAAGAACAACATTTGGCAATGATGGTAATTTAACATAAAATCGATAAACTCTTTTCTTCTAACTAACATAAACAATGATTTTCTTTTACTTTCTTTGTTAAAATCGATTTGTTTTTTCTTGCTCTGTCTATCGTTCGCTTTTTGTTTTTACATTCTCGATTGATGAGAATCGACTACTTCACTCGATTTCTCTTACATTTTTTCCTCATAAAATCAAATCAATGAATCGAGAACAGGCACAAAGAATAAGAAAGACTAAAACAACACCAGTGATTCAAAGAGGAGCCACCTGTATGAATGGATCGCCTCGAAGACGACAACAGACTATCTTACCGACTATTCAAAAACCGAAAGAACCTGATATCGATTATCTTCAAGCTCTTAAAGTATTTGACGGAAAGCTTCTTTCTTTTTATTGGCTATATCTATAAATACAATCTTTTTAGTTAATCGATCGTACTCGTAGACAAGAAGAAGCAATGCCGAAATCAATCCTTCGTCGATCCTACTCTATTGATGATAAAGCTAAGATAAAATCATCCTATCAGTTTTCATCCACTCTAACACCTATTGGACAAAAAGCTATGATTAAAACCTATGAAGACACTTTAGTTACTCATTTAGCTAATGTATATTCATCAAAGCGTATTGCGAATATTCTACCACGTCTTTCTACGGCTACATTTCGTCGTCGATTACCAAAAATCAATAGTCAAACTAACACAGATACAATTCAAAATGCTCAAATTTTAATGGATAATATTCTGAATAAAAATTGTGAGAAAGATAGGATCCTCTGTGATTATGTTAAATGGCAGCATCAGTGGGCAGAGAACTGTTAACTATTCGCCGATCAGTCTACGTGATGTATAGTAAACGAGCTTTTCCTACGTTCTGTTATTGCTCGTGTCTCGAGAGAAATTATTTGTGTTTCTTTGGAAATAAAAAATAGAAAGAGAACTAACATGAATTTCGATCAATTTTCAGTTCTGATAATACATTTTTAGATAGAACAGGTAACTTCTACCTCATTAGTTTTAGGTTTTTTGCAGAATCGAGAACGAAAACATCGTAATTTATTAATTGAGCGCAATAAATGTGCGACACCACGTTCAATTCAGTGAAGCTCTATAAATCAAAAGAATGCTTACTGGTCTTGTAAGTATAGTATGTTAGGTATAGACCTACGAGTACTAAACTCACTGACAGTTCGCATCAATACTATGCTGTATGGATAAATCAAAGATAATGATGTTAGCCAACGAAATACTATAATAAGAAAAACTACAGTTATGCAAAACAAACAGCTTCTTTCGCTATTGAACGTCAGTAACTTCCATTGTCCACATGAAGCTATATATGCAAAGATAGTCAACATTGCCATGATTTACAACCATCTGTACTTCACTTTAATTTGTCGTCGATCTTTTGAAGAAGTATAAATGGAATATTAGCTACGCTAAATAATATCAACTGTCATAATGGTTAGGAGAAATACTTAAAAATACACACCTCAGCTAGGTAAGATCAGTGTGAGAGCGACACTTGACTTTATAATTCGGTGATAGAATGAGATCTGTGGAGTAAAGAAATAACATTCTGAGTTTACTTTAGATGCAGAAAGTTGATGTTTCACCTTGACAAAATAAATGGAAGTAATTCTAGTACTATCGATCATGTCTTGTTTTTTTTTTAAATTTAAGGTGTTGATTATAAAAAACGCGCGGTAATATTACCATGGTCTGGCCAATGATGCTTTTATGATTATTCGTTTATAGCTGAAAAAATTCGATGTATTCAACGTATTTTCTTGATTTGGCTAAGATAATTACATCATTTCGTCATCTATTCACCAGTACAGGATTATACATGCTATGGGACAGTAATTAGAATTACTCTTTTTCTTGAACTTCGAACGAAATTAACTTTCTATAAATTGGTTCTGAATACAAGAGTTCATTCCGCCCTTGAAAACAAGCTGCAGCGGTATTTTTTATTTGATAAACAGCTGCAATGACGATATTATTAATGATCATTTGCCTTTGGTTCCGCGTTATGATTCCAACAAAGTATTCGTCGCAGTTCGCAATTAAGAAACTTATAAAAAACAGCAACTTTTACTTCGATTTGCCCTGTGAAGATACTGCACCTTAATAGTCAATGCAAATAGTCTCCCCATTGGGATATATTTTACGTAAAAATTTCTGGTGTTGGCATCCTGTAATAGAAGTTGTTTAAAGCTTGAAGAACGGTAGTGCAGAGATCATATCCGTTTTAAAATTAACTCCTATCGACAAAGCATTTTATAATCTCGTACTTTGTAAGTGCTTAGATCGAACACGAAAGCTTGAATATCTGTTTTTAGTTTTCGCCCAATATAAAAAGTATAACCATCAGAATATCATGGATAACAGTGCTCTATCTGCCATTTGTACTTTGTATCTTTCCGTTCATTCCTTCACTGCTCCTCTAGAAACTAATTCGGATATGTGTTTGTAATAAATAAAGTTGGATACATGAAACTTTTATAAACTTTTAATTTTTAAATTGTTTTCGACTAAACTGTCTTGCATTACAGGAAAGTTTAACAATTCGATCATTTTCAAACGTATTAGCATCTGCTAAATGTATTCATTTTAAAAAATCGAGATGATCACAAGTCTGAACAACGAGTTTGTCTCTTTTACATATATTACACAAATTGTTGATTTTTGAAATCCAAATCAATTCTCATTCGTTTTCTCGTGGATTCATTCTTCATAAATGTTCACACATTTGTTTTCATTTCCCATGTATTCTACTGCGATCGAATTTTGACCTGTAATTGCGCATTTTTCACCGCATCTATGCAAGACTGCGCCGCAATGGCAAAAAATAGGCTACAAGGGTTATAGCTAAAGAGTATCTTGGAATTCTTATGGTATTAGATATAATCTTTTCTTGAAAAAGCTAGCATTTACTATGCTCTGTTTTATATATTTCGCTACAGTTTGCCCGATGGAAGTATAATTTGCGAGATCGTTACTGCAATAAGCTTCAAACAAAGGCAATTTTTACAATTGTGAACAATCTGATACATCAAACATAATAGTTTATATACTATGCAGGACGTTGATTCGACGCAGAGTTCGTCGTTTGGTTTATCCTGTGCAAACAACCATTTTGTGCCATAAAAATCCAATGACTGCTTAACAAAAGAAAGCAAACCAAATGAATATTAAAAAGTTTTCATCTATTTATTTTCTACGGCCTGTATATTCACTCTTCTTGTGCATCACTCATCAAAGGATAATCTACTGCGACAAATATCCTAAACCCTTTCCACTTTAGTTTTCTAACACTACATTCATTAAATAGAAAGCCTTTCATCTTTAATTCAGCACCGCCAGTATAATTTACATTCGTAACGAGTCAACAGCCACAACTTGTGATCAACACATAAAATTTCAAAAACAAATGTCGTTCTATATAACGTCTATCTCCATTACTGACTTTGCCAATCAGATGTATCAGATATGACGCCTATAGGTCGAACAGAATTTAAGTCAAGATGAAGACAACGCTTCATTGATCTCCAGCATTGCCTTAATAATAATTGTCGCACTTGCCGACGAAATCGTGATGATATTGTCACAAATACATAGAAGCTCAGCTACAAACACATAAACATCGCACATCAATCATTCTTAAATGCTCTTACCGAAAAGTTACACGAAAGAAGTGCATTCACTAATACCGTCACCAACTGATTGATTGCATTGTGAATCGTGCCTATCACCAATCCGTTCAGATTCAACAGATAGATTCGAAAGATTGTGTATGGAAGTGATAGAACAACAAACATTATCACTCGCGCGAAGATCATTGCTGTCATTTGACGATCGAGTCGGCGTCTTTCGATTGCCAGTTGACGACGAATTATATGGCGAACATTTCGATAAGCCAACAAACTGAACACAGATGCAGTGCAGATAGGTAACAAGCCATTGAGAAAGATGTAATAAACGTATGAATAGTAGTAAACCAAAGACTGATTAGTGATGATGCAGCCAAAGGAGGGAACAATGTCATAGAAAATGATATATGGAATACTTTGAAGTATCCATACGAAGCTCACTGCAATGATGGAAATTTGTGCAAGTGCAAAAGTGGACAGTTGGCGCAGATGGAGTCGGTAATGTGTAGAAAGATATTGATCCAGTGCTTCGAAACAAATAATGGAGCCGATGAAGAGTCGAGCAGGCTGACCTAATGTTGTCTGCAGCTTACACCATATGACCGATGTGTTAGCGAGATTAATTTGAGCTATGTCTGACACGAGGATGAGAACTTCAACAAGGCAGATGAGATAGATATTTACTATACTCTCAACAGTGAGATAGAATGCACATCGATTACCACGAAAGAGTTTGAGTCTGGTGAAGACGAGAATGTTGACAATATTTCCGAAGATTCCAAGAACGAAAATGGTGTTGCTGGCGTATAAATTGAATATTCGTTGAAATTGTTGAATCTTAATTACCAAAGATGATGCTGACATGGCTGAGATCGGCACTATGTATGAATACGAGACTGCCGCTCAGCTTTCTTGCTTAATTAGCTCGTGTTTTATGAAGAGAAGATCGTCTCGAAATACCATAGATTCTATTATTTAAAAAGAATGGATATGAGAGAAAAAGAAAAAGCCGTCCGTAAATTCTTCATATATCACTAATCTTCTTCCTATCAAAATTCCTCGCAGGCAGGATGTATCATTATAGTTTAGCACGGTCTGTTGAGCGATGAAATGATGTTGTTCTTTTGTTCGTCTTCAATAGAAGAAAACATTGTGATACAAGAATTATCATGGAAGATTCAAATGAACGCTTAAATATAGGTTTTTAGAAGCGGTTCACAATGGAGATGCATATATATGAAAGTAATGTTCTATGGAATGTCATCCATACATTTAAGTGCACAGATGGGCGTGAATATTCCATTGAATAAGAGTGAGATTTTGTGCTCTATATTTATTTATGGTGGCAAGGTTATAAGTACAATTGTCTTCAAGCGAACAACAATCAAATACATGGTGCTGTTACGTCTAATGGAACCGATAGGGAAAACTTGCTCGTATGGAGGAAGTTCTTTTCCGAAAAGCGATAGAAACAGTGATATAATCACGCCCGCGTATTTTTGGAAAAATTCTGTATGAATTTTCTTTGATTGCAAAAATATTTAGCCGTAACATTGTAAAATATTATTCTTTCACGCTTTTATTTTGCGTTGTAGATTAATACTTTTTCTCTCTTACTATCTTAGACGCGCACGTTCTTAAAAAGTAAAGCGGATGAGTATTATCAGTTCTTCTGGATTCTTGATTATCGCCTCCCGTTTGTCACGCAGTATAGTCAGTTTGATAAATACATTCGGGCATGCTTTTTATACTATGAACTTTTAGACGAGAAAATACCATTAATTCACAGAGTGACTTCATCGATCTTGAGAAAACTCGTTTCCATTAAACAAATTTAAAACACACAACTTTAATTCTATGCGTAAAATGTTATTTCATCAATCTTCATGCATCGCATGTCCTTTGAAGACAAAATCCGAGAGGAGAAGCGGATCTTGACATTCCTCAGAATTCATCTTCTATATTACTTGAGCTTTTGTGAAGAGCTTATTAGCTTTTCATCGATTATGATGAATCTATCAACGCACAGCATCTTCCGATGGATTTTCATAAATTTTAATCAATCTAACCTGATATCCCTAGGAATCTAAGCTAAATCCTTCCGTTAGGAAGAAATATGCCAAAATCACCTTCGGTTACTAATAGATCGCATGGTTTTTGATGAGCTTTAGATTTCACTGGATGGCATCCGTACGGTTCAGGATTATAAGTGTAATACTAGAAGTGCCTTCACACAAACTATGACGCTCCATTTGTATATGAGACCTGCCGGTAAGAAGAGAGCAGATTGAACTTTGAAAGTTTTCCCCATAATTATGCTACAAATGTGTAGCAGTGAAGTTCAGCATGTTTCATCTTTCTCGCGCTCTCATGCCCCGAAAAAGCACGCAATAAAAAATACTCATTTAGAAAAATTATTTTTAAGCTAATAAATCTGTAAAAATCACGACTTCTCTTTAATCATTATTTTTGCAATCATTTCATCTTAGTAATCTTCTAAATATATGACATCCCAAATGCTCTTTTGAAACACATTTTGATTTTGCCGTTCTCCTCCGCTTTCTTGTTAAATCAGGATTATGCGTACCTGTTTGAACTGTTCTCAACAGATGTGACCACACAGCAGTTTTATTCCCTTATGTCATAAAACCATCATTCATCGGATGAATCATTTTTTCGTCGGACTGACAGCACTGTTTCATTGATAGTAAGTATAGTTTGACCAACGCATACTTCACTTGTCGACGAAATCGTGATGATACTGTCACAAATACATAAAACATCGCACATCAATCATTCTTAAATGCTCTTACCGAAAAGTTACACGAAAGAAGTGCATTCACTAATACCGTCACCAACTGATTGATTGCATTGTGAATCGTGCCTATCACCAATCCGTTCAGATTCAACAGATAGATTCGAAAGATTGTGTATGGAAGTGATAGAACAACAAACATCATCACTCGTGCAAAGATCATTGCTGTCATCTGACGACGAACCAGATAGAGCCGGTAATGTGTAGAAAGATATTGATCCACGGTGCTTCGAAACAAATAATGGAGCCGATGAAGAGTCGAGCAGGCTGACCTAATGTTGTCTGCAGCTTACACCATATGATCGATGTGTTAGCGAGATTGATTTGAGCTATGTCTGACACGAGGATGAGAACTTCAACAAGGCAGATGAGATAGATATTTGCTATACTCTCGACAGTGAGATAGAATGCACATCGATTACCACGAAAGAGTTTGAGTCTGGTGAAGACGAGAATGCTGACAATATTTCCGATGACTCCAAGAACGAAAATGGTGTTGCTGGCGTATAAACTGAATATTCGTTGAAATGGCTGAGTTGAACAGTGTCTTGGTATGAGAAGTTTTCTTCCTGTATCTTTGTCAGTTAGTCTGCTCTATATGGAAAAAAGATCGTTGGAACGCATTTTAATGTAGTGTTCGCCGAGTATGAAGAAAACTGCAGAAAACATATAGTCTGGTTGGAAAGGAAGTTCTTTTGATCAAAACCATCTTAGTGTCCAAAAGAGAAAAACATGCTCTCCCAGTATGGTTTAAGTGATACATTTCTCATTTTCTGTGTGTTTTCCATAGAAGCAGCACAATAGGAAAATGTTCTCAACAAATAAAATTACGACTTGGAGACAGTGAGAACTATAATCCATAAAACATATTCTGTCCATCTATACATGCAAACAAACACGTATAGAGTCCTATGTACTGTTTGTGAAGATGTTCGTGCATTGTTGCTGATGAAATTCATCGAATCAAGTGCAATTATAATACGCATGTGCAGTGTACTAGTATTACTTTTGATGTGTTGCTCCTCAACGCCATCCAAATTTTTGCGAGGTTTTGTTGGAGGATAATCCAGAGCTTAGATCATTATTTCGCTTCCATGGAAATTACAGAGGAGGTGAGGGCTCCGCTGTTCATCAGTATCGACTTGGATGTACTGAAAATCAATTATATTCAATGATATAACAACGACGACGAGTTAAATAAGTTTCATGAGATTTCTTTAGAAAGGCTGTGAAACAAATTTCTAGATACATATGTTCTGTGTTTAGGGAACAGTTTATTTTAGCACACTAATGTAATAAAGTTTTTAATTACACGTGGATATATGCCTTTGTTGTCTTGATAGTTTATGTATTTTGAAAATGTCACATTTACTTTCGGATTCACTACATGCTATGGTTAATTTATCAGGTCCTCTCTATGAGTAATTGGAATACAATTTTTAAGATGAGCTTCGTTTTTTTTAAACTACTAACATCGCTTCAGCATCATATACTCTGTCTTGTCGACGATATTGTGTAAAGATTGTCACAAACAAACAGAAACTCAACCAGAGAAAAGCAAAACAGTACATAATTCATGTTAGAATAGTCGTACCGAATGGTTTCGAAGAAGTAATGTTATTACTGCTTGGATGGTATTTTTTACTAATCCATTCCGTGTCAACGGACCGGTCATTTGACGATCAAGTAGTCGTTGTTCGGTCAAAAGTTGACGGCAAGCTAGGTGACGAGCACTTCTACTTGATTTAAAACGTCGGTTTTTTCAGATTGCCGTTGACATTCCACGTTTTTCCCTAACGCATCAAGTAAATGAGAACATGTTATGATGGAGTGAGAGGTAGATCTATTATGTATCGACCAGCGTTCCTTGTTTCAAAAATATCTGTATAGCACTGTTAAGAAAATAACGTTGAAGAAGTTCAGTAAGTAACATTTCTGGTTTGTTAATCTTCTAGACTGATCTCTGCACAAATTTCGTGGGTCTACCTGAATCTACGACGGTGTTTTCGAGTTTGTCTCATATGTGAATATTCACAAATTTTGAGACGTCGTTTTAGCTAAACGTAACTATGTGAATGTGTAGCGAAAAAGAGTCACCTACGCTCGGCTTTTGTACCTATCTCCTGTGTAAACAACGTCATATATTTACATTTATCAATCTACTCATCTTCCTTCTTTTCATCTATGCTTAAACAGGAGAACAACATGTTCAAAAAGTTTAAGACAAATTTATTGCTCAATATTTTTTAAAAAATGTCAGGATTTTTCGAGTAATTCTCTACGGAGACTCATTAATAAAAAGAGTGAAGAGAAATAAACAACGGAAAATAGGTTGATTCTTCATGTTAAGTCCTACGAATCCGATGAAATGTTCTGTGAGAAATTCCAGAACAAGCCACTCTATAATTTCCATATAAATTGCTTATTCTGCACTTTCAGTGTCAGCTCTTCATTTATCGTTTCGAGTTCACATTTGATTTGCATCCTTTTTGTACAACAGCAAACTTTGTCATCGAACATGCACCAGACACCTTCACTCTAATTTTGGAAACACTGTGCACCCTTCTCTGTGCAATACTTACAATCACCAGCACAGAATGGTTCAATGCCTAAATAAATTAGCATTGGAAACAGAATAATATCATCAAGAACCATTATCTATAACTTGTGAATATGAATATTTTCGCTGTTTACAAGCAGTGGCACGTTTGCGTCCGCGTTAATAGGATCAATTGATATTTATGATGGAGCATCTAACATAGAGCTTCTAGCTTTTGCATCTGTCTTTGATTTTACCGCATGTTTGCTTTCGTGAGAATATGTACTAACCAAGCAAATATACAGAGAAAAAAAATGACCAAAAGATTCTTCATTGTTGTTCGCGTGCTTCAATAGATATGTTAATCGATGGAGTATTGCGATAGTTTGATGAAAATCAGTTGCTTTCTTCTATACTCATGTTTCTCAAAGAAAAATTCAATCATCCACATATCTGATAAACGGAATCTGATCAATAGGCCGGTTTAAAGCTGCCACAGGTTCCAGTTGAACTATCAATCATGTAGGTTTAATTATCTATCATAGATAGCAGTACAAATATGAAGGTTAGAAGGATCATTTATGGTTTTATCTGATATTGGAGAGTGATTAAGTACTTAATTCCTTAGTTTGACACCAAAGTACGCATATAGAGAAAAGAAAAGGGAAATGATACAGTAATTATTGATTCACGTCAAGAACATCGTTTAGAAAATACCCTTTTGTTTTTCATGCTCCTGCATGGATACACACGTGAAGATCAAAAAAGGATATTTTGTCTGAGGACATTTTCTAAAGGATATTCTTGACATGAACCGTAGTTATTTATTCTAAATGAATATGACGTAGTTTTCTTTTTCTTTTCTCTATATGCGTACTTTGGTGTCAAACTAAGGAATTAAGTACTTAATCACTCTCCAATATCAGATAAAACCATAAATCATCCTTCTAACCTTCATATTTGTACTGCTATCTATGATAGATAATTAAACCTACATGATTGATAGTTCAACTGGAACCTGTGGCAGCTTTAAACCGGCCTATTGATCAGATTCCGTTTATCAGATATGTGGATGATTGAATTTTTCTTTGAGAAACATGAGTATAGAAGAAAGCAACTGATTTTCATCAAACTATCGCAATACTCCATCGATTAACATATCTATTGAAGCACACGAACACCAATGAAGAATCTCTTGGCTATTTTATCTCTGTATAATATGTGCTTGGCTAGTGCAAACGTACAGTTCGCCTAATAGCAGGCACAGCAGCTAAAGCCGTTAGCGATCTTTTCTCTGGCAACGTTTTGTTAACTGATCCAAATGGTAAGAGCTGCGATGCTTATTGTAGAAGCATCAAATATGCATTTGGACAACCAATCAGCAGATGCAAAACGTAGAGATAACTGGCATGGAGGCGGACTCTGTTTGATTGGAACGATAGTTTGTTGCTGTATGAAAAATGGTAAAAAAATCTAAACGAAAGCATCAGATGCCAAAGGAACGTCTCTAAGATTGTTTGTCACATTCAAAAAGGGATGATAGCAATATGGAGTGATAAGCAAAATATATCAAAGTGCAAAGAATTTTATTCTTCAATATCTCAGAAGACATTCGATTGCGTTTCCACAACGAAACGTTATTGACTATATAAAGTACTTTCTTCTGTTCAATTCTTTTCATTTTTTTTAATTAAAATTCACTTATGTAAAATTACTCAGAAGATTTATAGTTTTTATATTCATTAATACATCATTTATGTGCTTTTTAGCGTGAATCCGTCTTTAGGAGTTACGAATAAAAACTAACAACAGGATGTGGGTGAAAGTGATGCACAAATGAAAAGCCATTGAATATATGGCAGCATCATGGTAGATGAAGTTGTCAGAAAGTAGAATATCCATAGACCTTATGAAATCTTTTGATAAGAAACACTCTGGAGATATTATGCATCGTTGCTCATGAGGTTTGTCGTATCTGAGTCTTGACGCCTCACACTATCAGCCAGATATAATTAGTACGCAGTTGGGAATGGACTAGAATCGCTTCTGTTCTGTCTCTTCTCGAGATCATCCAAATTTTCATGACTTTTGTTGAAAGTTTATTGAAGATGGCGATTTCTATGTTCATCATTATTGCTTTTAATGTACTGAGGATCAATTGTACGGGATGATACAATGACAATGATGAATTGAGTTTCATCTGTTCTTTGCAGTGATCTGAGAAGGAAAGCTTTAAGCAGCACCGTATGTTGTGTTTAAGTGATAGTTTATTTTCGCGCACCAATGAAGTAAAGTTTTTAATTGCAAATGGATATATGTCTTATTCATCTATGAATTTTGAAAATATCGCATTTACTTTTTCGTTCACATCATGCCACTGCTACTCTATGAGCTCCTCTCTATGCGCATTGGAAATATTATTTTCTGGATGAATTTTGTTTTCGTCAAACTGCCAGCACTGTTTCAATGAATGCCAACATCGTTTCAGCAACACATACTTCACTTGTCGATGATATCGCGTAGAGATTACCACAAATACGTAGAAGCTCAGCTAGAGAAAAATAAAACATAATATACTCCATACTAAAGCAGTTTTACCGAATAATTTCCAAGAAGTAATGTCGTTGCCATTGTGAGCGCTAACTGATTAACCGCAATGTGAGCACTATCTATCACCAATCCGTTCAGATTCAAAATATAGACTCGAAAGATTGTGTATGGAAGTGATACAACAACAAACATTATCACTCGCGCAAAGATCATTGCTGTCATTTGACGATCGAGTCGGCGTCTTTCGATTGGTAGTTGACGGCGAATTATATGGCGAACATTTCGATAAGCCAACAAACTGAACACAGATGCAATGCAGATAGGTAACAAACCATTGAGAAAGATGTAATAAACGTATGAATAGTAGTAAACCAAAGACTGATTAGTGATGATGCAGCCAAACGAGGGAACAATGTCAAAGAAGATGATATATGGAATTGTTTGTATAGTCCAGAGAGTAGCTGAGAAGATGACCAGGAATCGTGCAAGTTTGAGAGTGATGAGTTGTCGTAGATGTGATCGGTGATGTGTAGAAAAATATTGATCCAATGCTTCGAAGCAAACAATTGAACCGATGAGAAGACGCGCAGATTGATTTAGAGTAGTTTTCAATTTACACCAAAGCAACGATACATTTTCAGGATAAACGTGATAAATCGTTTGAAATAGCATAGGTAACACAGTATCGAAGAGAAGATATATGTTCACAACAGATTCCGCAGTCAAATAGAATGCAGAACGGTTTCCACGAAAAAGCTTAAGTTTGGCGAAAACAATAATATTGAGGAAATTACCGACGATTCCAATACAGAGGATGATATTAATTACATACAAGACCCAATTTTCTATCCATCCATCAATCTCAGTTACAGATCGAACCATCAGCAAAAATTTTGCCTCTAAATAAACCACTGTTACTTCAACAACAAGAAATAAGAATTCACTGTCGACAATCCTCCAGTCAAGTAAGTTATATTCTTTTTATACAAAATAATAGGTTTTTATCCTGAAACAGCCGTGTCTATAGCTTTTATCTGTAAGAATGAAGACTTCTCTCCATCAGAGCGATGCGAGGTTTTTTCCAGAGTATGCACTTGCACACGCAACCGATGAAATAAGTGTTCAAAAGTAAAAGAACGTCAAATGACATTCATCATAATGCATGATTGCTAATGAAGTACAATCAGTTGCTCTATTCTTTCAGCATTAATGCTGTATTCAAATAAAAAGAACCAAATTGCGTACTATGATTTCAAATAGATAGTAGAAAAAAAGTACACTTTATTAATCACAGAGGCCGTTTCTGTAATGCGAAAAGGCACGGTTAAATCAGAAGAATATGAAATGCAGAAAAGAATCATGTTTATTCTAGAAAATGAAAGAAAGAAGCATGTTTTTTTTTCGATGAATTGTTCTCATTATCACTCAATCCACTTTGTACATGCCTGAGATGAGACAATTCGAAGCGTTGAAATCGTCTAATAGAGTTCATTAAACGATACTAATGAGGAAACCTAGTGTAGCTAGGAAAATATATTGAAAATGTTTTTCAGATTAAATAACAAACGCCATATTTATGAAAATTTATTTTTTAAGTTCGACCAAAATCGATTCCAAGAAGGTGGTTCAATGTCACGTAGTTCAGTGTTGATTGGTGGCACGAAATTTGGATCGATCGGGATGACGTCTGTTACGGCATTTAGGATATTGCCTTTAATAGTCGTTACCAGCTCATTAATTTCGAGCTGTTCCTAAATCAATGAACAAAAATGTTATATCTCGAAGCTGTGCATTTCACAACTTACTATATCGGTGAGATAATCTCTGTTGATCACACTGCGAACTTGGTCAAGTAATTCTGCCTTTTCGGATTCAACTGCACGAACCATCAGTTTAGAATATTCTCCATAGTATTCACTGCCTTCCATAGACTGCAGAAACAGAGCAACGAGTGATACGCCGATTGTAGTAGCTCCTGCTGCAGCAATGAAGAGTGAGAGACGATTGCATTGTTTCTCGATGTTCTGTTCGGCTTTACCACGAACCATGTTTACTCGTGCTGAATTCTTGGCGTCATCTTTTGCGTAAGATTCGATGCGAAATACAATACCCATAGGCAGTATGACTTCGCACTCGCCCTTCATACTGCTTTGCCTGTCGACGGACGCTATTGGTTTCGATGCACCTTCTTCGCGATCAATACGCATGTGGAAGGTAACAGACAACTTGTCTTTATCACCTTGACCTTCACAAGCGAAAAAATTTGCCACCTGTAAATCAGTTGTAGAAGACAAGATGTTTCTTGTCATTACATGTACCCCGACATTTAGAAGCTGGTCTAGTTCTTGTTTTGCTATGCATTTACCTCGATACAGGTCTAATGGCGTTTCTGGCCACTCTGATAACTGTTCATCATGTAGTTTTTTTAATTGTGCGTGAAGATCATGAAGAATCAATCGAATTTTGAAAAAATCGTTAAAATTAAAGCTAGAACATGTGGTGCAGACCAGCACGTTGATAAGATTGTCAGGATCTGTATACAACTCGATAGCTTTTTCTGGATGGTAATTCTTTTCGTATCTACGAATTTTTTTCAAGCTAACTTCTTCATTGTTGTATTTCTTACGACAGAATTCAAAGAATTCTCTCGTAGCTTCATCACGCTTTGGAAGAGCCACGATAAATTGATTGAATAGTATTTGAATTAGCTGCATCTGGCTGCTGTTGTCCAATTTTTGTGCAAGGGTACCCATTACATGTATTGGCAGTCTGCTTTGACTGGAGAATGGGTTGTTGAATAATCGGTGTTTCGGCAATGGTTGCAGTTGTTTTGGAGATAAACGTTGATAGATTCTTGCAACTTTACGAGATCTTCTGAATTGTTTCATGCGTGCATTGTCGTTGTCATGGGAACCAGATACTATAAGAATAACCCGTCTTCTCCGGCAAGAATTTATGTGCCGCATGCATTCGTCATAATCTTCACAAAAAACATACTCCGTTCTCGACGATTTTGCTGTCCAACCCTTGAAATCTTTACTTAGTTTTTTGTCATTCTCCTCGTGCTCTTCAATATTTGGAATTTTGATAATACCAAGTTCGGACATACCGTTTTCTGCTTTATTCCCTTCAGAAGAACATATGAGCTCGATAATTAAGCGTCGGTCAACATTTTTCCTGACGTCTATTTGCGACTGAAATTGAGAAAGCTCGTCCATGACGATAACTGACGATGTACAGGCAAAGTCTACTGATCTTATCCAAATGGGAGCTGAAATAAAACGCAAATGTGCACAGCTTTTTATAGTCGTCCAATTCCTTCTACGGATTTACGACACGTATTACACCACAAATCGAATAACGAAAGTCATGGCGTATTTAGTCACTGATTCCCGAGAATATCATGCACGTATAAAAGATATGAAGAAACATGATAGATAAGAAATATATAAATCGAAGTTAAATAAAAGCTGTGACTACCAGTTTGTACTTGGAAACTTCCGAGTAGTGAAATCATATTATTTGCTTTACTTTATTTTAATCAGAAGAACCAGCCGCAGTATGGGAAATGTGACAGTAGATGCCGAGAAAGGCTAGAATATAGAAACATGCTTCTTAATCAACATCTTCATATATACCTATGAAGTGGCGTTCGGAATGTGTCGCAGATTTCGAGTAACTCGACACCAGTTTCTCACCGATTGTATACACCGCTTTGACAGAACGGTTTTCACTTGTCGACGGAAACGGGATGATGTTAACAAGAACAGATAAAAGGTCATCTAAAAGTTTAAAAAGGTAATTCATACGTATGATTCAAATGAAATCTTACCGCATAAGTCAAGAGAAGTAATGAAGTCACAATTGTTGAAACCAGACCATCAGTCGCGTACCGAAAAGTTTCCAGCTGCGATGTATTATTGTTCAAAATATAGACTCGAAAGATTGTGTATGGAAGTGACACAACAACAAACATTATCACTCGCGCAAAGATCATTGCTGTCATTTGATGATCAAGTCGACGTCTTTCGATTGCCACTTGACGACGAATCAAATGACGGGCATTTCGATAAGCCAACAAACTGAACACAGATGCAGTGCAGATAGGTAACAAACCATTGAGAAAGATGTAATATACATATGAATAATAGTAAACCAAAGATTGATTGGTGATGATGCAGCCAAACGAGGGAACAATGTCAAAGAAGATGATATATGGAATTGTTTGTATAGTCCAGAGAGTAGCTGAGAAGATGACGAGGACTCGTGCAAGTTTGAGAGTGATGAGTTGTCGTAGATGTGGTCGGTGATGTGTAGAAAGATATTGATCCAATGCTTCGAAGCAGACAATTGAACCGATGAGAAGACGCGCAGATTGATTTAGAGTAGTTTTCAGTTTACACGCTATCAATGAAGTGTTGACTATGTCACGTGAATCTGTTATCTGGACGATTTGATAGATGAAATAAATTACTAGTATAATAATACTGACGACGGATTCGACGGTTAAGTAAAACGCACAACGATTTCTACGAAAGAGCTTCAATCTAGTAAAGACTAGGATATTGAGAATATTGCCGATGAGGCCAGCAGTGAAAACAAGGTAATTTATATAACGGAAGTCACGTTGTATTATGACAAGAATTTCAACTACTGCCGATGAAGAAGACATGAGCTGCGTTGGTGTGTTATAGAACTATTCAAAACTGAATTCTTATACTTTTCCCCACCTATTTGCATAGTCATGCAACCATGATATTCATATCTCGACTGAGTTTCATGTTTCATGGCTATCTTTTAAAGCTAAAGTACAATTAATTTTGGATTAACATCCCATCTCGTTAAGAAGAGACCGCCAAGGTCTTGATTGAAGTAAAAGACAGAAAGCAAGAAAAGAATTGTTAATATCGAACTCTCATATACTTATTATTTAGACGCCTTGTAGTGTATCTCATCCGTTTAGCTAGATACATGATGACTAGGCATTTCTCTCGTATATACTGTGTGCACGTCTACCGAACGAACATATGACAAGAAAAGAATAAAGTATTTAATTGCATATGCATGATGACGAAGCGTAAAATTCGACAGTATAAAATCTCAACTTTTTGGTTGGGTTATGCATCCCAAACAAAATGCCATTACATCGAATATTTCATCCGCCAGGTGCTTTTTCAGTCGCCGAGAAGACATCACTTTCTGAACGTATAACGAAACTTTATACCAATCGTGGCTTACCGGCATTTTATGTCGTTATTCTGTTTACTCCCATTGAAAAGGATTCCTTTTTCGTCGGTGGCCAATCAACAGACAAATTCATTCGAATCGTTGTTCAACATCTCGCACGACAGCTTCCAAATGATCAGCGGAAGGCCGAATTTTCAGAGAAATATGAAGAGGCTATAGCGCCGTTCATCAAAGACAAAGGTTATGATTGGGAAGTATGTAATATGATCTCATTGTATGTTTAATCATTTCGCTCTTTGAGGTACACGTGGAAGAAGTCCCACCGGAAATGTGGCGGGAGAACGGACTCATCCCGCCAATAAAATTTCCAGAAATCGAAAAGGAATGGGCTCGATTGAACAAGCCAATACCTTATTAACATGACATTGTATTCGCTGAACTTTTTTCATTTCGATGATTTTTTTTCTTGCTCTTTACCTTTTTTCAACGATATCTATCAGAAAAAACTTATTTGTAGATATTTTCGATCATGGGTAAACTCGATGGAAAAATTGCATTGATCACAGGTGGATCCGATGGGATTGGTTTAGCAACAGCTCAAGAATTTATTGCCGAAGGTGCGTTCGTATTCATAACCGGTCGTCGACAAGAATTGCTCGATTCCGCAGTGAAACAAATTGGGCAAAATGTATTCAGTATTCGAGCTGATTCATCGAAACTAGAAGATCTCGATCGTGTTTATGAAATAATCAAACGAGAAAAAGGTAAATTAGATGTACTTTTCGTCAACGCAGGTATCGCCGGTGCAATGCCGTTGAGCGAGATCACGGAGGAATTTTTCGATAACATGTATAACATTAACGTCAAGGGTGTTCTTTTTACTGTTCAAAAAGCTTTACCATTGTTAAACAATGGATCCTCCATTATCTTAAATGCATCCGTAGTTTCCATCAAAGGTGGATTGGCGTCAAGTGTTTATTTTTCGAGTAAAGCTGCGGTGCGATCATTTGCACGTTGCTGGTGTGTGGATTTGAAAGATCGTCAAATCCGAGTCAATGCGATCAGTCCAGGTCCGGTTGATACATATTTGATGAACAACTTGGGTCCAACAGATGAAGTGTCGAAAAATATTGTGGATAAAATGACGTCATTGACTGTGATGAATCGACTTGGCACATCAAGTGAAATAGCTAAAGCTGCACTATTTTTAGCGTCAAGTGATAGTTCGTATGTTACTGGTATTGAACTTTTCGTCGATGGTGGTGCCGGTCAAATTTAAGCATTGAAACTAAACTTTGCGCGTCTTGTTACCTATTTATTCCTTTCGTTGTTGTTTATTTGAAACCTAGATTTTAATATAAATATAATCCTCAAATCAATATCGTTTTAGCATGTTCTCGTGTTTCTTTCTATTACAAACGGTCTACTCGTTTCTTGTTTTGAATCAATATATTGTTATAACACAATGCAGTAACGAGTGCAAGGATAGAATGAAGGTGATCATTTTCACTCTTTTTATTTGCCCATTAATTCGGGGCGATCTCGAGCATATCAAAGGTAAAGTTTTCCTTTGTGCTATACATAGATGCCATTCGAATCCTTGATTAGAAATCGGTTTTAAATTTTGGCTTGAACCGGGTATTCAAGAATGTTATCATGAACTATTAGAAAAAGATTCCCGAATCTATTTCATGTATGAAATCTTGAATGCTAATACGCCTGATGATCGTATCGTCGCCTTTTTTCGAAATGCATACAATGGAAGTGTGCTTGCTCTATCTCGAACACCCCAACGAGGTCATTTAGATTTGACTATCAATGAAACAAGTAAGATCGAACGTTTCTATTCCATTCGAATGAGTATTGAGACATTTTTAGCGTTGATCGATATCTGTATGGATCATGAAACTACAGACCATTATGGAAAGTACATGTCTGTCTTCCTTCATGTTTATCAAGTTGATAAAGTATTAGAAAAGATCAAAGAGATTGAACATTTCGATAATGTCTCGAGTGCTGCTCGTGTAAGAGAGTTTCTCTTTCGACGAGTTCAACAATCGATACCATGTTTTCTTTAGAATGCAATTAGATCAATCACGCATCATATAATGGTCTCCCGCGAGCATCAAATCGAACTTGAAATGCTGAATCAGAAAGATTTGTATCTACTAGAAGAAACCTTCTTTTGGATCAATCGATGGGCATCCGTCCACATTCTCATCATTTTCGTGTGTTTTTCATTTCAAACATGTTTTATTAAGCGTCTATTCACAGCCAATAAAAAATAAACTTATCGTCGCATAAATTTCAGAAAAAAAAATGCCATTATTGTCGAGAAAAACAGAACAGTCAAGTTGGCGCCTTTCGCCATGTGCACGTTGCTTTCGCGAGTAAGCTAGGAAGAACAAGAACGATACATTCATCATCTATATAAGGAGAATTGCATGTCGACAATTTTTATTCGTGATTTAACCTGTGTAACTTCTGTCGTAAATTTTTCTCTTCCAGGAAATACAAATGCCTGGGCATGAAGGACAACTGAAACTAGAACAATGTTTACAGGAGATTATATCGCTACTCAGTGCGGCTATAAATAAACTCAAGCCAGTACCTTCTTCGCAAGTAGATGCCACTTCCGATGGCCATTCGACAAACTCTGCGTTGGATATGAATACTCATTCATTCTCGTTGGATGCGTTAGAGCAGGATGTGATGCAACAACTACAAACCGACATAGAAGAAATTTTGAAAAAAAAAGATATTCCTCGTTGGTTGGACAACTGTAAAAATTACCTGTTGAATTTCTTATACGAATTTGATTATAACAATGAAAACCATCAATTTAATAGTTCTTTCAATGTCAGTACAATCGATTCATTTCTATACGAAGCACAAGGTGTGTTTCATTCGTTAAAAAGTTTCCAAGCAGCATGGGATGGAAAACTTGAACAAGTAAAAAGTTTTCTTGAAAAATATCCGAATTTCAAGGACAAATCCGGTCTTTTCGGTACAACACTGTTATATTCAGCTGCGCGAAACAATCATATGCATGTAGTGAAGTATCTGATCGAAGACGGACGATGTTCAGTGAACGCACAAAACCAACAACACATTGCACGAGCGCTGCCAGGTGCCACAACATTTTCTACTGAGGATTGCTCTGCGAATCCTACGGCGGGTTCAACAGCATTGCATGGCGCTTGCTTTCAAGGACATTTACAAATAGTGAAGTATTTAGTTGAACACAAGGCGAATTATTATCTTTTAAACCATGCTTGTGAAACACCCATCATGAATGCCCGTAGTCGAGAGAATATCTTGAAATTTTTTAATGATTATTTAGTTCTTGGCTATTCGCTACAGACAATTGATTTACCCGAAAAACCTATTGATGACGATGCAATACGAATTGTCGACTGCTTTTGGGAATACAAACCATGTGCCGACAAAAACTGGTATAAATTCAGTGCGCCCGAAGCTGGTACATTACAGAGGGCTCTGACAATCGAATCTGAAGAGAAATTCAAACAAGAAATTCATCTGGTTGTCAGCAAAGGCGTTTATAGTGTTTCGATGATTAAGTTTTTACGTTCCGGTAAAGATCAAGACTACAAACAGAACTTAGCGTGGGTTCGTTGTCGGGGCTCGTCAATATTAAACTTTGGCTGCTATGCCGTTTGGCAAATCATGTTTCTTCAACATCCGCAGGGCAAATCTGGCTCCACTCTAGACATGTGGCCAATACCGATTCTATATGACAGCACTTTTGTCCTTCATTTGAGTTCATGGTATTATTGTGATGCGCGGACAAGCGATCAGCTGGAAAAGACGATGAGTTTTCGACGAAAAGAAGTTACTTTGAAATTACCCCTGTATGACCAAGATGAAGTAACATTTAATCTTCAAACGTTTGCATTTGCCAATAGTGAAAATACCATTCGAGGGTATATTCGGTGGATACCAAAAATGATCTCGAACAATCCAAGACATAGGGATAAAATAATTAGTATTGATCAATATGAGACTTTGGCGAACTTGGATCCTGTACCATTAACAACTGCCCGTTTCAAACGAATCTCAGCAGCTACGGCTCACGCATTAACAAAAGATGACGACGAAGAGTTGGATAATTTTAATAACGATGGCGACGGCGATGACGGCACTGATGTATATAATACCATACCGTATGATGATGGTGATGAAGAGATTGATGCTTCAGACAAGGTAAAAGCAATAACCTTCATCTACTACTAACTGATCTTACGGAAAAGATATTTGAACAGAATCATTTTCTTCTTTCAGACATTGGAAACGCCAGTTACTATTCCACGATCGATCTCTGATCTTCTTAAACCTGCGGCCGACATAATTTCGAACGATGATTGTTCACCAACTCCTGTCACAACTACAGAATCAGTGACAACCAAGTCAAGTAGTTCATCTTCTACTGAACTAGCCGACAATAGCATCGAAGATTGTATCAATGAAGCTGCCGCAAATGATTATTCCACAAAAGAAAACGCTCTAGATGAGAAAACATCTCCATCCGTGAATGACAAAATAGTAGCTGCGATGAATGATGAATTAATAGCACTCAAACAAAAAAATAACCAACTAGAACAGCAAATTGAACAACAACAAAATCAAGTACAGCGTATGCTTGAGTCGAGCAGTGTTCAATCAGCGAACTACGAACACGAGTTAGCTAGTCTATTCGAATGCTTAGAACGTATGAAAGCAGAACAGGATGAAAATAAACGCAAACAAGAGAGACTCCAGAAACTGTCGAATAGTATCAAATCAGCTGAATATAAAAACATTCAAGAAGAAGTCATACACGATTTCTTTACACCAAAACAACACCTTATTTTGAAAAAGCTGAGAGAAGCAGTTCTGCTTCTGGACCCATCATTTGCCGATCGAATTCCAAAACTACTCTTTCACAAACAAGATGGACAATACATCGTTGTTATCACCGGTTTCCCTAAACATCACGATGAATTCAAAGCCGTACTTCGACGTATATGGACGTTATTAAATGTAGCTAAATCCGCCAAAGAATTTTATCAGCGTCAACTGAATCGGACGATGAAAACCATGATGCAAGATGTTTTGAGCAAAGTGAAGACTCGTGCACAGGCGTGGCACGAATACAAGCAATTGTTCGGCGAATTCTTACGCGAGAAAACAGTTGAATACAAGAAGCAATTCGATGAACATCTTCGAAAAATATTATTATCACTACAGGACTCATGTATTCAAGATACCTTATTGGAGCCGTGGAAAGATATACAAAGGGAAACAAATGATTTCATGAAGAATATGGCGATTATGAGTGAAATTGAAGGATTGAAACAGAAAGCATTAGACGAATTTATAAAACAAAATATAAGTATGCAACGTTTGAAGCTTGATTCCGAGCCAACCGTAAAATCAGCACGAGTCGTGGAGAATTTCATTCAAAAAGTTCGAAATGAGCTGCGAACAGAAAAGAAATATCACGGATGTACAGTCCAAGAATTTTTCTTAATACCGAAACTATTAGAACGATTGATGTTGTATCATTCATGTTTCAAATTACAATTACCGTTGTACGAATCATCGGAGACAC